ATAATAATAGTAATAATACTAAATGTTAAGCATTTGGACCAATATGCGATGGCCGCCTGATTTCAAGATGGGCCGACCCAATCCGAGGTTACCGTAATCAAACCAATTACGTTACGTTAACAATTTTTAACGTAATCAAAATCTGGCAAGAATGTCATATTATTTCACCATCTGTACACCAAAATAAATAGTGAATGTGCGTGTCCGTGGGTGGGGCTATGTCGGTGTGGTTATGTGGGCTGATGTGGCTACAGTGCCAGGGCTGAATTTTTGTCCCAGTCCGCCCCTGGCAGTCAGTGACAGAGAATGATCACAGAGAGTCGAAACAGTTAATTTAATCCCAGTTTCTTTGTAAATCCTGTTTTGTGTCAATCGATATGGTGGGTGGAGAAAAACGCATTCCTAAATCTCCTTGCAGTAGGCCTCAAAATCACTGGGATTTGTATCCTATTTTAATTCAGGACATTTTTAAAAAGAGACTTGTTCTGTTTCTATAACTCCAGTATGACTGTGGACACACTATACCTACACAGTTTTATCTAAACAGCTTCCAAAAGTTGATTTTGCATCATAGGCACTTTTTAAGAAATAAATCTAACCAAACTGATTAATGGGATTGTTCACTTTTTTCCCCCGTTTTTTTTTTTTTTTTACCAGTGAATGAATTAATTTTATTGACTGAAAGCCAGACAGTTAAATCAGCTATCACACATTCCCATTATCCCTCATCCTTAGACAGGGCTAGTGTATATAAATACTGGTATCCACTTGTTAAGGCGTGACGTTCCTGTGAGGGATTGAATACTATTTCCAGGTCCAAGCCGCTACTCATTTGAACTGAGAAAAAAATAGTTTAGGACATTTTTAGTCTTATCACACAATTAAGTGAATTTTATTAAAAAAAAAATCATAGTGTACACTTCAGCCCCTGGACTTGCTTCATCACAGACACCAATATTTTAACCATTTATAAACAATTTATCCCAATCTGCCTATCTGATATTAGGCATGTAGTCATATAACGTTTATTATTAGCATTTGATAAGACTCCCCATAAAGTCTGATAGAGCTCTTGGACCCAAAAGCTGCTTTACGTGACGTCACACTTAACATCGAAAACTGATTTTTGAGTCTCTTTGTGCGGTCACTCACTGAAAATAGCAGTCAGTTCATTCAAACACTGTTCTTGCTTTCCCGGATATTACCATCCTTTGAGGTAATTGGATGCAGAATGATCAAACCTGATTGGTCAACAAGGTACATGATCTAGCCAGATGCAAAAACTGAACAAGCAAATCTCAGCTGTAGTTCACACTATATTGTGTTGTAATTCATAAAAACCTCAACTGCAAACTGGCGGTTGGAACTGCTATCAATAATCTTCAGCTCTTAGTTTTACTTGGATTTGGTGCTTGTCGAGTGTTCATTTTAGGCCTTGTCAGTAACCATTTACTTCTACGGTTAGTTTTTTATGGAAGTCAGTGGTTACAGGTTTTCAGCTTTCTTCAAAATATCTTCTTTAATGTTTAACGGTGTATAGAAACCCAAAGGTTTGGAATGACTTGAGAGCGAGTAAACAGTCATCTTGGGGTGAACTGTCCTTTTAAAGTTGACTCTAAACTCTGCAGGAAAGTTGCCTTCCAAGGAGCAGGACTGGACATCCCTGATGTCAAGAGTAAAACGAAGCATTACAACTAGCTAATTATTCTAATTAAGAATCTGAGCAAACATCTAGTAGGTGGTTGCTGCGGGTAAGGCGGTACGATGGGCAGCAAGTTGTATGTTGATATCTCTGGCGTTGCCCGCACTAACCCCTTTTTGTTTGTTTTGTCCTGTTTGTCCTCAACACCAAGAAATGTCAAGAAAAGACGATACGACCCTAACGCCAGTGCCATCTAAAGGCTAAGAGAACTGCACCCTTGCCTAGTGTGCCCCTGGGTTCAGTGGGAACCCACTGGACTGTACCCTCTCCTGCTGCTGACGGCGTCGGCATTACTTGAATAAAAAAAAAGGACAAAGCGAGAGAAGACTGAATGATCAATCATTTTTTCATCTGATGTCACATAGAACTGCTTCTCTAGCGCTGCCCCCTTTCCCCCCTGTTCCTTTGCCCTCTGGTCCCGAGCATCCACACTGAGCATCCCCGAAATACAGATAGAGGATGGAAGCACTCATCGGGGCATGACTTCCGGTTCACACGGCCCTACCTCCGGTTCCCAGGCATGACCAGCTTCAGCTGTGGACCTCGCATGGCAAAGGAGGGACACCAATGTAAGAACATATGTTCCAAAGAAGAATGACTTGAAGTTCCAGTAGGTTGGTGACACATGTGAGTGTGTTTTACCATGATGTCGAACGAGAGGGACCCATATCTTCTTCGGACAAACATTTCAAGGCAGTCTTTTTTTTAGCATGTTATTGCAGCCATTTTCTGTAGTATTAATGAAGACACCCAGATAAAAAAAAAAGTTAAAAAAAAAAAAAAAAAAGAAGAAAAATCCATTTGGCCAGCAGCGTATACAGCTGCATGATGAAATCACCACAGTTATATATGCCTGATGACATCAATTCCCCTTAAAAGAGAGAAAAAAAATGAAAGAACAAAACTGGCTGGGCCCTGTAGGTCTGCCCTGACCTGAAAGCCGTAACTGGCCAATCAGAGAGCTGCATGATGTAATTGCACTGGGGGCGGAGCCCACACAGCCTGCTGCGCTTTTCAAGGTATCTGCATGTCAAAGGAAAAAAAAAAAAACAGTTAACATTTACTTACTATGCAAAGGGGAAAACGTTGCACAAACCCAAAGGTTTGGTAAAGAATTCTCAACCGAGACTAACAATGAAATTGATCTCAAGCTAGCGGATTATTAATAAGGCAGTCTTTTATATGCTCGGCCATCTATGTTTGACATTATAATAAGCTTCTGATTACTTAAAATGAATGTTTCTATGAAAATCTCAGCTTCTGAAAAACTCAAACGTCATTGTCATCTGTGTGGGACAGCATAAACTTGAGGCACTTGCGATATTATTAATTGGACGGGGCTTTTTGCATAAGAGGGAGCTCGTATTTTGGCCGATTTCACTGAAATATGAGCAGAGAGAGAGAGAGGGTGTTTTTCTATACTACCATTGATCTACACCATCAGGTTTTTGAACTCATCTTCTAAACCCTGAGCCCTTTTACAGCCATCTCATGTTCCCATGGAAACATCGCCAAAAACAACAGATAATGATAATAAAATTGATAAAAATTCACCTTCTCGTTTCTTCATTCGTCCTTTGCCAATCGTCACACATATTATTATAACTTTATTGTGTATTAAATACAAAATATATTCAAAATAACAATGTTTATGGAAAAAAGGATTTAAAGTCTATTTAAAAAATCATTTAAAAAGCACAGCATGTACATTCACTATAACCCCAACATAAGCTCATTCTGAAAACGTAGCCCTGTAGACATTTCTGGAGATCGTAAATTATGTAGCCAGAGCTACTTATGGCTTCATTTCATCATTAATATGAACACTACATGACGGTATGACGACGTTCCTTTTCTCGCTTATTAGCTGACCAATTACCTCCGTATGGATGGCTTTTCGCTGTTATCAGTTTGTCCAGTTACTCAACATGTACTTGAGGCGCAGTGGAGTTGACAACTCCACAAGAATTTTAAGAATTTAAGAATTAAAAGTTTAAGTCTAGTAAAGAACGGTGTCAGAAAGCGAGTAAGACAAAAACAAGCCAAAACATAAAATAAACAAGTGGATAGCAGGGTGAGAATGTGATAAATCTGAAAACATGGTAAAAATCAGGCGAGGGCTTTGCTTTTTCTGGATTGCTTTTTAAAACACTGTGGTTGGGCTTAAGGAAGGGGGTGGGCGAGTCAATCTGTGTTTTTGAAAACATATATCGGTTGGGTTAAGGGATGGGGAGGGTGGGTCAGTCGATTGGTCAGTCACTCAGTCGACAGTGACCTCTGGTGGATTTACCTGAGAACAGCAGGCGCAAATGGTGCTAGCGAGAGAAATTTAAGATCTCAAAAAGCATACACAGCGACCTCTGGTGGATTTGCGAAAACAAAAACTTCAAAAAACAATTTACCTCCTGGATGTATTTTGTCTCTCCAGAAATGTATGTATCAATACGTAATTAGTATGAGCCTGAGTTGATAAAACCAATTTTCTCAATTTACTTTTGAATATTTGTGAACTTCTGCCTACTCATAAATGACCCAGAGGAGCTCAAAGTCTAGAAAAAGAACCTAAATCATTCCATGTTACTTCAATGGTTCAACTGTACTCAAACGAAGCTCCAAGAACACATTTGTGCACTAGGAGTGTAACGGTGATCCGAACAAATCACAACCCACAGTTCTGAACGCACTTGACCAGCGCATTATTAACATTTTTTAAACTTGTATGTTAATCCAACATTAATTAACTACAATTGCAGAGAGATCGCCTCCTGCATCATTGAAAGCATTTTGGCTTCCCTGTGAAATATGATGATGATGGTAAAAGTTGTGGTGGGACCTAAATGCTTTCTTAGGTTTTTAAATAAAGGTGTTTTCTGTCGCTGCTTGTTTAGCCTATAATAATGTGTTCAGCATAAAGCTGCACAATTAAACATTAAAAGATTGTGATCTCAATTTAAACCCACGCAACATTAATGATCAATGATAATGATTTGCATGTTTCTTAATCCTTCGAAGCGCTGCATTCAAATCTGTGTTTGATCGAGAGAGACTGTTTTTACACTTTTTTCAGTTAGTAACAAACAATTAAATGACACAAAAGTTCTGGGAGAACAGTTTATAGTTCAGATATAAACACTGATGTTTATATTAGTGAATGTTTGATGCTGGTAAAAGCAATTACATTGTGTAACCAATGTGTGGAGACAAACAACCATCAAAATTGAATGCACATAAACCTAAAAAATACACAAACTACGATAGAAACACTTTTACCAAACAAATTTAATTACGCATAAATTTAAATAGCATGTTTGGATGAAAACAGCTATTGCTGTCTATGGAGGATGAGAGAGCTCCAGGATTTCATCTACAATATCTTCACTTGTGTTCCAGAAGATGAACGAAGGAAGAACATGACGGTGAGTAATTAATAGCTGAATTTTCTTTTTTTTTTTGGGCGAACTAATCCTTTAATTCCAAACTCTTTATTATAATGAATGACATGTAAATGTAATTAGTGCAAATGTGAGGCACAGTTTGTTTGCAAGCTGTGATTGTCACCATCATGCCAAACTGGAGCTCTTTACAGAAGTGACGAGATGAGAAACGGAGTCTCTGACTCCCTCTGCTGCCGTCATCAGCATTTCTTTCTGGAGACAGACTGACCCTGATGGAGAGAACACACAAAACTTCAATTCAGATCTACTCAATGTAAATATTGATTTATTATTATTTCATTTATTTAAAAAATGTACATTTGAAAAGAAATGTTTGATAAATATTGTAAAATACAAAAATATATATAACACAAAATACAGTTTATTTAATGGTCCTACTTTAAATTATGTATTAAAAATTCTATTGTTAATAAGGTTAAGGTTAGGACAGTAGTTATATTCATTATAGAATTATAACTATATCACTAAAATATAAATGCAGTTAAAAACTAAATGATGAGCCCTCCTGTGATATTTGAATCCTTTTTCAAAGATTTACCAAGTGCTGTTAAACAGAGATTTTCAACATAGTAGTTTTAAAATCTTATTTCTAATAACTGTCTTTGCAATGATGAAAGTACATAATATTTGACTAGACACTAGTTTATTCATAATATTTTGCAAGTTCCTATAGTATTCAGCTCACTTTAGTATTAATACTATAATATTACTAGCACTATACTATTAAGTTCACTTTAGTAAAGTTAATTAATTTAAATAGGCTAATTAGGTTTATTTGGCAGTCATTGGACAGCAGTGGTATGTTCTATAGCTAATTGAAAAATAATAATTTAATAATCTTAAAGGGGTGATCCAGAGTGTATTTTTATGGCTTGGTTGTGTTTATACGTAAGATGCATAGCAATGTGTGCTCATGCTTCATTTGAAGAAAATCATATTATTGTTTCATATATCTTACTATATACAGCTACTCCGCTAACTTGAAAACAACTGTCATATTTCCTAAACCCGCACTCAAGAGGCTCTGATTGGCCAGCTAACACAAGGTGCTGTGATTCGTGGATAGGCTCCACTTCACCAGGAAGCGTCTCTGTTATAACATTACAGCAAATCTGGCCACGCCCCTTTGCTGTCCTATGCGTGTAGTCTTAAAGGTTTATGATCTCACTAACCCGGATGTATTTTTTTGTAGTCCCCAAACTTGGTTCACTGTAGGCTTCGCTAAGCTAACTCTGTAAAAGCCAATATCTCCCTTTGCATTGAACTTTGAGCGTTTAATATTCAGAGATTCTGTTGTTGTTGATCTTCACACAGCTACATTACACATCAACTAAAGTTTAAAACATGATATCATAGTAGACCACCCCTTTAATGGAGCAAGTAATATTGACCATGTCAGTTTTTATATTTAAATATTCCAATTTATTTCAGACAAAAAATATATGAAGAGTTCAGATGCAAAAATCTCTAAGTATCATCTCAAATTTTCTTCTAAAATTTGCATTTTTTCAGGCTCCTATGTCTTGATGCAGTAATTTCACATTTAAAGGCAACTAAAGGGTTATTTTGATCACTTTGAACATCAAATAACTGAAAATAAACATAAGAGGCTTAGAAAAATGCTCATAGTATAAAAAAAAATCTAGATGGCACTTAAAGGTTTTTGCATCTGAACTCTTCATATATACTTACACCAAAATAAAAATACAACATTAAACTTTTCCTTGCAGTGTTCGAATATCTAAAAAAAAAAAAACCTAACAAAAATCAAAGGATGGCTAATAAATGTGTCCTCAAATGTATGCCTACACTGTACAAAATGTAATGACAAAAAGTCAAGTTACTTTAACCCAGTGTTTCTCAACCATGTTCCAGGAGGTCCACCAACACTACACGTTTTGGATGTCTCTTTTGTCTGTCACACCCATTATAGGTCTTTCATTCTCTGCTAATGAGCTGGTGATCTGAATCAGGTGTGTTTGCTTAAGGAGATATAGACAATGTGCAGAGCTGGTGGACACCCAGGAACATGGTTGAGAAACACTGCTTTAACTAAATTACAAGTTATACAAAGGTTAACTTATTATTTTTAGTCAGTTTGATTAATTTTCAGATAACTAAAAAGTTAATCTAATTTAATTTGATACATTTGGAAAATGTAAGACAGCGAGATTATTTTACAGTTGAAGTCAAATTTATTTATATACTGTGAATTTCTTTTTCTTTTCCAAATATCTCCTAAATGATTAAACAGAGCAAGGAATTTTTCACAGTATTTCCGATAATATTTTTTCTTCTTTTTATTTGTTTAATTTGGGCTAGAATAAAATCGGTTTTTACTTTTTAAAACCCATTTTAAGGTCAAAATTATTAGCCCCCCTAAGCTAAATTTTTTTGATCGTCTACAGAACCGTCGTTATAGTATCTAGAAAAATATCTAGTAAAATATTATTTGCTGGAATCATGGCAAAGATAAAATAAATCAGTTAATAGAAATTTGTTGTTAAAGCTATTATGTTTAGAAACGTGTTGAAAAAATCATTCTGTCAAACAGAAAGTGGGTAAAATAATACACAAGGGGACTAATAATTCTGACTTCGGCTGGACCTACAAAATACTACATATATTGTATTAAATGATTCATTTAAACCTTACATTTAACATTTAGCCTTACATTACAAACTTAAAAAATTGCAAACATAATAACAAAAACTGCAGAAACCTGAGGCTGTATATAGAGAAAGCTCATTTCGAAGTCTCTGTACAAGCTCGCAGAGATCCTCCTCATCGTCCATCTCTGAATCATCCGAGTGTCCGTCCGGTGCAAAATCCGACATGCATCCATGAAAAAACGAAGGATCCTGTCTGTCATGTTGTAGCTCCTCCTCTTCTGTTGGTAGCCCCTCCTCTTTCTCATGTAGCCCCTCCTCCTCTTCCTGTAGCTCCTCCTCTTCTCGCTGTGCTAAAGCTGTATGGACGTCCTGCGGCAGAATACTCTCTGAGTCGTCCAGATTAGTGGAGATGTCCTCTGAAAGATCATACAGAGTATCCTCCTCCTCTTCAAACCTTCGTTCCTGACGTGTTCCTCTCTCCTCTACTTCGTGTTCTGTGCTGGAGCTTTCATGAGGCTTTAAAAGTCCAGGTTGTGTCCAGTTGTTTTCATTAATGCTGCCATCTTGTTCTAGTTGAAGGTTTGAATGGGATGTTTTGAGCTCTTCTTTGTGCCTCAGACTCAACAACTAGGACAATGACAAGGATATACAGTTAAATAATTTGTTATGTGTTGCTTGTTATGCCTGCGATTATTTATTTTTGGATCACATGACATGATCAATATTGTATTGCTTAGTAAGTGATGTCATTCCTAAATAGCTATTGGTAACACTTTAGAATAATGGACCATTAGTTGATGTATTGACTGACATTGAGTACAAATAATCCTGTAAGGCATTTATTCTTCATCTTAGGTCTAATGCATTATAATGCAATAACTAATGCTTTACTAATATACAGAGGTGATTGTCTTCCTGCAGATTTCAGTTGCAGCCCATATCAAACACACCTGCCTGTAATTATCACGTGGTGTTTTAATTAATTGGTTCAGGTGTCTTTGATATGGGTTGCAACTGAAATCTGCAGGAAGGTTGGCCACCCCTGGCTTACAGAGTTTGTAATGTATTACACATGGAAAAGATTAGATATGAATGAATCATAGCAATGTGTACAAAATACAAATTTTCAATAATTGCGTATGTATAGATATTCATATATCCAATAACATTTTCCAAATTTTATTATTAATATTAATTTTATTTTCATTATTATTCATTATTATTTTTTTAATCTCTTTTCCTTTTTCTGTTTTTTTTTCTTGTAATTAATTATGTATATATGCACATGTATATATGCTGTATATGTATTGTACAAATGCAGATGTTTGGCTGGACTTGTGGATATGTGTGGAGGAATATGATTAGCAGTGGTGGAAAGAGTACTGAAAAAGCATACTCAAGTAAAAGTACCATTACTTGCCTAAAAATGTAGTGCAAGTAGAGTAAAAGTGGTAAATTTGAGTAAATTTTACTCAAAGTATAAGTAAAAAGTAGCCCTTTTAAAAGTACTCATGAGTAGTGAGTATTACGCTGTGAAAAGCTGATGCGTTTACCTGTAATTTGTGGATGTGTGTAAACGTAACATTCTGTAGTGCATGTAGTTATTGCCCAGTAGGCACACAACGTCATATGACGTTAATATTAGGTTAGATTTAGGTTGTGATTACAAGTGACCAAAATTCAATGTATAGCCAGTGTCTAAGGATAACATTATTGTGATGTCTAATAACAACTTTAAATGATGTTGATATTTGGTTGATTTTAGGTTGTGTTAGAAAGTGACCAAAATCCAATGTCGAGCCAACATCTTAAACCAACATCCTATTGACGTCAAATACTGATATTGATTTCGGACGTCTTCTTGTACACTTTTAACGCTACCAAACAGTTTGCTGCATTTATAAATCGCCCATGTCTTGAGGTAGTTCATTATGAGGCGATTTACCTTCTATGTGTGATTTGATTGGACAGGATTTACAGGATATACGGGAATTACAGGATATACTGATTTTTCTAATCCCCATAGACAAGAAAAAATAAAGTAGAGACTGCAGGTTGAAGGAAAGTAGTGAGAGTAAAAGTACAGATACAGCACTAAAAATATACTCATGTAAAAGTACACATTTTTAAAACCACTCAGTAAATTACAATTCCTGAGAAAAAGTAATTAATTACAGTAATTTGAGTATTTGTAATTAGTTACTTTACACCACTGATGATTAGTAAGATACTGCAAGTATCTGTACAGTTGTGGATGTGCATATGTATTTGCATTTCACCTGTGTTTATTTATTATTATTTGCTGGGATGGGACAGATCTGGGGTTTGTTCTTTAAAATGTAAAAAAATGAAAAGTTGCTATTTTCTAGGCCGATATGGCAAGAAACAACTCTTATTCCTGCGTAATAATCAAGGAACTTTCCTGCCGTGCTGTACCATGGCTGTAGTAGGCGCAATTATATTACTGAAGTCTCAAACTTAAGGTTGGAAAATGATCTAAACTCTTTTTTAAGGCTAATGGTCTAATCAGATTCATGTATTTATGCTAAGCTAAGCTAAAAGTGCTCCCCCCAAATTCGGAAATCAGCTTAATGGATTCAAAAAGGACAACTCAAGTGTTTAAAGGAGTTGTCAAGTGAGCTTATTTGTAAAGTGTTCCTTTAAAGTTGGCAAATAAGCCTGGATGAAACTTTTTCATGCCGCTTCTCACATGTCTGACTGTGTCCAGTTCTTCCTCCAGATGCTGGTTGTGTTGGTTGAGCGTCTCCATCATGCTCTTCAGCTCAGAGCATTTGTCCTCTAATGAATCGTGCTCTGACTGAGCTGCGACTCTCCACACCTGAAACTCTTTCTCCAGGAGCCTGATCATAACACGCCGAAACACATATACACCCACATTGAGCTCCAATGCAATCTTTTCAATTCTTTCAGTACGATTTATATTAGAAAAGGGCTCACCATTTATCCCTCTGCAGATCTCGCATGGCCTTCTGGGTAACACTGATGTCTTTCTGGAGTTCAGCTGTTTCTCTCTGAAACACCATAGATATAAAGGTATTCATAAGCTGATCATTTATTTATTTTTTTAGCGGTTTTCACCTTTATTGATAGGAGAGTAGAGATATAGCGACAGGAAAGTGTGGGGAGCAGAGATAGGGGAAGGATCAGCAAAGGACCTCGAGACGGGAATCGAACTCAGGTCGCTGCGAGCACCTCGGTGCTATGTGTCGACACACTAACCACTAGGCTATTGGCGCCGACAGCTGAACATTTATTATGCATCATGGTAATCTAGCAAGATGATTAATCAAAATGTCTATTTTTTTAAGGTGTGGTACTAATATGTTAGTCTTATGGTTATCTATAAGGTAATATATTCCAAAATGATGACAATATTTGCAAGGTCTAAGCGAGAGATTCTATAATTATCGGCACATTTGATGTCCAAAGCCAACATTTTTTTCAGCTTGAAAAAAAAAAAGGTTTGATTTTTGATTGTGTATAAAATGTAGTTAGTAAATGATTAATTAAATATTGAAATCAAAGTTTATATGTCTTATTATTCAGGCATTTAGTAATGGTTACTATATATGTTATTAATTGCTTTATTAACTCAACATTATGCAGTTTTGTGACCTAATCTAAAGTGAGGACTATTCATGCTTTATAAATCCCTTATAAATGACAAATAAAGGCTCAGTTAAATTCTAAACAGGAAGAATGACATTATTCATTCCTATTCATTTAAAGATACACAAATGAAACTGTACTTCAAATGAAAAATAAATATTTGCAAACTTGCAAATTTGCAAATATTTTAGCTAATCTAAAATAAAATCACTATAGAGTTTAAACATTGCATCTTATTTTATTGTTTAATTATTATATTGTTGTTGTTGTTGTGTTATCCAGTTGGATGTCTGTTATTTGGCAATGTTTGAACTTTAAAGTAATTTTACTTTTTAGAAAGATTGCACAGATTATTGTTCATTTGATTCTAAGCCTTTATTTGTCATTTATAAGGCATTTATAAAGTATGAATAGTCCTCACTTTAGATTAGGTCACAAAACTGCATGAAGTTGAGTTAATAAAGCATTTATAAACATATTAGTTACCTATTAGTATATGCCTGAATAATAAGAATTATAAATGTTGATTTCAATAGTTTATTAATCATTTACTAACTCTACTCTTAAATACAAATGGTTTGTAAATAATTTGATACCTAATTTAGTAATGAAAAATAAATCATTAACTAAGTATGAAAATACAATCATTAAACACATTATATAGGTGCTTAAAAGTCAAGAATAGAGCATTTGTAGCTGCAGTTATAAACTGCTACTAACGTTTATTAATGTAGAGTTAACGCTTAACAGATAATGAGTTCACTATTTGCTAATGCTTAATAAATGATTTATAGTGTGTAGTTATTATAAAGTGTTACCAAGCATTTGTAGCTGCAGTTATAAACTGCTACTAACGTTTATTAATGTAGAGTTAATGCTTAACAAATAATGAATTCACTACATGCTAACGCTTAGTAAATGATTCATAGTGTGTGGTTATCGTAAAGTGTTACCCTTAATTCGGTTACCATGCCTTGCCTTTAAATTGGTGGAATTATCTCTCACAACTTTGTAAAAAACAGAAAATGATTTCACTTCTTTTTTTTCGCTCATAACATGTGAAACACTGAAAAAAGTGTGTGTGATCTTACTGAGAAATTATTTTATTTAAAAAAAGATCTTACACATTTTGGTAAACTGTCAATACTGTTACCAATAGAATATTTAATTGATCACACATTGGACAATTTAAAAATATACTAATCCTAATTTCATGCCATGTGCTCTTAGCATTGATGCTAGCAAGTGTACTTTTGGCTAAAAAAATAAATAAATAAAATGACTCTTTACTCTCCCTCAAGTGGTTCCAAACATTTGTAAGTTTCTTTGTTCTGTAACCATTCACTTACATAATATTTTTTCTTACATTGAAAGTCAAATGTTACATATTCACAGCATTTTTCAAAGGATCTTATTCAGCAAAAGAAAGAACAGGAAACCGGTTTGGAATAAGTAATGGGTGAGTAAACAGTGGGTACATTTTCATTTTGGGGTGAACTATCCCTTTAACTACATGTACCTTTAACTACCTGCTATATAATCAGGGTTTACTTGAGAATAAGATGTATGCAATCAGTGCGATATATACATTTATTGTTATAGTAAGTACATGTAGCAAAGATATCTGTGCAATATTACATTATTTAGATTACAATGTTTTATTAAAATGGGAGGATGTATTGGAACACATATAAAGAATATATGGGTTACCTGAGGGATCTGTATCTCTTCTGTCTGCAGGCTTTTAGACTCTACTGTAACGGCAGCAGGAGCAGCAGTCTGACTTGCCTCAGCAGCAGCATCATGTGTGTCTGCATATGCAGCAAACTGCAGCGCTGGATTCGAGGCACTGCAGACACACACATACACACATGCGATCATCTGTATGCTCCTAAACATGTACTATTTGTGACTCATCTACTGTTAACCCAGAAAAAACAGTGTACCTGTATCGCAGCTCTGCACTAGATCCTGCTCTCAAGGCTCTCTTCCTCTCTGCTTCCCTCCGGGTGTGTCGAGGAACTAAAGCATGTCGAGCGCTGGACGCCAGTGATGCCATCGACTCCTTCCAGGATGGCTGAACAAACCACACATAGTTATTAATTCATTTACATTTCTTTAACTTCTAGGAAACTCTAGCTTAGAGCTTTGGACTTTAAACCCTAGTTACTATACACTGTAAAAAAAAAAAACTAATTTTACAGAAAAAATCTCTAAATTTTTTACAGTATTTTTTTTGTCATTTTACATTATATTTAAAACTTTGTAAAATGACAAATATTCAAATATTAACAGTTTGACTTTCATTTTAGGTACTTTATTATTAAGAACAAATTACTGACATTTCTGTTTTTTATACAGGATTTTTTCAGTTTTTTTTAATTATATTTAAAAGTTCGTAAAAATTACAAAAAATGTCTGTAAATTAACAGTTTGACTGTTATTTCATGTACTATATAAATAATGACAAATTACAGCAATTTGTCTGTTTTATACAATAAAATTTACGTATTATTTACAGTTTTTTCCTGTTTTTTTAAAGTACATTTGAAATTACATTAAATTAAAGTAATAAATTGTAATTACGTGCTCTGTAAAATAAAAATAAAAAGATCGTAAAAAAAAGGTCAAATGACTGGCAGCTACGGCTGCCAAACAAAAAACATAAAATTACGGTTAAATTTTCCTTGTTGAAATAAAGTGCAAAAAAAAAAAAATCCACAGATATTTTCATTAAAATGTTTACAGAAAAACACTGTTATTTTACACATATTTTCTAGATTATTACGATCAAATTCATACAATAAAGTTACACCCTAAGAGCGATCAGAAACACCTGTTCCAGATTCTGCTGATTGCACACACACTATCGGAGGATCGTTATGAACTGATTACATGGACTTTAAAAGCAGCATAGAAGCACGCACCAATTGCCTAGTCTTGTTATATGGTTACTGTGAACATTATGACGCGTTTTCTTCTTTTGCCTTGCTTTGTTTGTTAATTGTTTACGTTGCCGGGACTAATCATTTGCTTGTTATTTTACCATGACTCTGGATTCCCTGCATACATCTGTTTGCAGATCGCCCCTGTGTTGACTGTTACTTATCTGACCATCTCTCTGTAATAAACCTGCATTTGGATCTGCAGTCCTTTGTCAGGGTCCCCTTCACATTACAGTTTCATTTAAGATTTGGAACTAAATCATTCCATATAACCTCTACATGTTTTACAGGAATACTATTCAATAAAATGTAACTGTAATGTTAGTTGTGTAAAACTCTGTAAAACTCTTATTGTGTAACTTTATTAAATGGATTTGATCGTAATAATCTAGAAAATATGTGTAAAATAACAGTGTTTTTCTGTAAACATTTTAATGAAAATATCGGTAGATTTATCAGTTTTTGCACTTCATTTCAACAAAGACATTTTACCGTAATTTTATGTTTTTTGTTTGGCAGCCGTAGCTGCCAGTCATTTGACCTTTTTTTTAAGATTTTTTTTTACAGTGTATCTATAATAGTATGTGTAAGTAGTGATATGTTTGTGTGTTGACCTGAGTGCAGTACTCCAGCACAGAATGGGAGGGCTTGTGTTTCCTGCTGCGTCTCTCTGTCAGAAAGCAGCTTTGGCAGAGGTGTACATTCAGGCATTTCAGACAGCGATACCTACAGTTTGAGGTCAGACCATGTCAAACACTAAATGTTATTTTAGTATCATTTATATACTATAATATAGGACTTTTTAAAAAAAAAAATAAGTTCATTTTCAAGTAGTGTTTTGAACCCATTCAGCTGATCTAAAGGTCTGCCGGAAACACTTTTAGCTTAGCTTAGCATAAATCATTAAATCAGATTAGACCGTTAGCATCTCACTATATAATAGTTGTACTACGATTTGTAATTGAAGAAATAGGTCACCCAAAAATGACAATTCTATCACCATTTTCTTACCGTTTTCTTTACATGTTGCAAACTATTTTGAGTACATATTGAAGAATTTTGGAAACCTGGAGCCATTAACATCCATAGTAGGTAAAACAAGGTATAATATTCAATGGCTACATATTTCAAACATTCTTCCGTATATTTTTTGTGTTCAACAGAACTAAAAAAATTAAACTGGTTTGCAACATCATTGCGCAAGTGTCATTTTTGGGTGAACTATTCCTTTAACGTGTTTCTGCAGATTTCTTTTCAATTTTATTTAAGTTTGGCATTGTATTTTCTTATTATTATTTTTTTACTTTTGGGGATTGAATTTACTTTCATTTCACTGTTGTTTATTAGTAAAGTAAAATATACTAAAGTAAAATATAGTAAAAATATTATCCCTGACAAATACACATTACAAATGCTTTACTACCTTTATATACACACACTTCTATCAACCATGCAACATGCTTTAGGCTATTTAACCCACATTAAGGATAAATGCTCTGGAAATGCCCACCTGAGGCCAGTGATGGGAAAGGCTTTACAGGCATGGCAGTGAACTCTGTGTTGTACAGCTTCACTCACTGAAATCCTGTAGAGTGTGGACAGCCATAAGAGGAGACGCGGCTCTGACTGCAGCCACCATATAAAATGCTCTTCAGTCACACCTGCACTGATTACCTGAGAGAAACAAGTATACATATAAACGATTAAACTTATGTGAGCTAATATCAGAAGCAAACCATCTGCTAAGGTTTTCAGTCATTCAGAAGGTTTTAAAGTCTAAATGTTTGCAACTGTACATATTTGTTTAGCCTGAATTATATTTAAGTAGATCAGAAAAATATATGTATAACCTGTTTATTTTAGTATGATCATTAAATATATATATATTTTTTTACAAATTGCTAATAAAAATAGCATTTCTCTAGGGAGATGTCATATTCCCAGACCAGTATCATACAGCCCTATATTTAATATTATACAGTATTATATACCATTTATATATATTCTTTAGCATATTTGATTAAATGAGTGAATTAGTAAATATTACCTGTATTATTATTTTATATTATGAATTAATTATTATGAAGTAGTAAATATAGTTTCCTAATAGTGACACTATTATGTGTTTTATCGGACACTAGTATGTTTACATACTTTATAAAAAGTAAAGAAATTGTACGTGTATACATCAATATAGGATGTGTATATAATATTATCTGGACCATATACACTGTAAAAAAAACTAATTTTATAAAAATGTATATACATTTTTTACAGTAATTTTTTTGTAATTTCAAATTATATTAAAAATTATATCCCTCTTAAAAACAGTTTGACTTTCATTTTAGGTACTTTATCATTAAAGACAAATTACTGACATTTTAGTTTTTTCTACAGAGAAATTACTGTATTATTTATACAGTATTACTTCTCATTCATTCATTTATTTTCTTGCTTAGTCCCTTTATTAATCTGGGGTCACCACAGCGGAATGAACCAGCAAGTTTTTACGCAGCGGATGCCCTTCCAGCCGCAACCCATCTCTGGGAAACATCCACACATACACTCACCCATACATTACGGACAATTTAGCCTACCCATATCACCTGAACTGCATGTCTTTGGACTGTGGGGGAAACCGGAGCACCCGGAGGAAATCCACGTGAATGCAGGGAGAACATGCAAACTCCACACAGAAACGCCAACTGAGCCGAGGATCGAACCAGTGACCCAGTGACCTTCTTGCTGTGAGGCGAACGTGCTACCCACTGCGCCACTGCATCGCCCAGTAATGCTTCTGTTATTTTAAATTATAATCAAAACTCCATAAAAATTAAAAACAATATCTGCAACTTATCAGCTTGACTGTTATTTTATGTATTATATAATTAATGAAAAATTACATCAATTTGTCTGTTTTATACAATAAAATTACTGTATTTTTTACACAGTGTTTTTTTCTGTTTTTACATTTAAAGTACATTTAAAATAATGTAAAATTAAAGAAATAAATTGTAATTACTTGTGCATCTCGCTATATTAAGGTTTATGACAATGCTAACAATTTTTTTCATTGTTGTAATTTTGAAGTAAACCCTTATTAGTTTTACTTTTAATTGTATTTTTATATTTAAACTCTTATATATTTTTTTGTTGTTGTTGTTTGATTTTTTTTATTATTATTATTTAATCTTGTCAAAAAATGTATTTAATAAAATGAAAAGTAACCTAATTTTCCATGTTTATAAAGCAGGAAGAAATCATAATAATGTAACTTATTATTACTTTTATTATTATTATTATTATAATTATATAATAAATAATACTTATACCAATCATGTAATAATTAATTAATTGGTTATTATTATTCTTTTTTTTTAATTACATTATTATTACAATGAAATCCCTGGATCCAAGTTTTATAACAATCTGTTATAAATAACCGATTAGTCATTAAAAGTGTTAAAAAATGTCCATACCCCGTTAAAGCAGGATGACACTGCAGTTTCAGCATGACCAAAAACATGGTTTTCTTGAACCACAGCCGGAACCTTAACCAGAACATTGAGTTTAGATACACATTAGCTTTATTTATTTAGATGTAATTCTTTGTCTCAGACTGATTTTTTTCTGACCTGGCTGAGGTCTTCCAGCAGGACTCTGAGTGCACTGCGACTGATGGAGCCTCTATCGCTCTCCTGATTCCCACTGTAGCTCTCGGCCAGTCTGAACAGAGCTGCAGAAACACAAGCTCTCAACACTCATGATCATGCAGCATCCAGAAAGTTGAGAGCAGAATCAGAATAAGAGATACTTAAATGAAACAAATGTGGAACAAACCCCTCTGTTTAGCTGAGAGAGTGTCTCCACAGAGGGCAATCAGCGCAGCCTCCACTGACCTCAGCAGAATAACTCCAGTTTGCCCTCTAAAGGAAAACATTGAGTTTCAGGAACACATCCATAAATGCAAAAATAAACTATATTTTGAAAGTGAAGTTCACCCCTCACCTGTCAAACAGTTTAAAGAGAAGCCTGGTGGTCTGATCTGTGGCTTCAGTAACCGCCTGATCAGGAAGTTCAGGGGAGATACTCCTGAATAGCTCTTCTAGATGCTGCTGTACATCTTCTTGAGCAAGGCTTATCGTTGATTCCCCAGAACTCCATAAAGTGTTCAAAATTGGACGCAAATCCTGCAGTAACACCAGATTCACTGAGAAAAAAAAAATAATGAGGCATATAAGTTGCTGAGATAAAATTGTTATGTCATAATGCAGTGGTTCCCAACCTTTTTTTTTGGGGCCCCCCCCATAAACATATACAAACACTGGAGCCCCCCCACCATATAAATACACACGCACGCACGCACGCACGCACATATGTACTGTGTATATATATATATATATATGTGTGTGTGTGTGTGTGTGTGTGTGTTTGTGTAATATATAGTAATATGTATAGAAAATATTAATTAATCAGTTTTAACTTCTCTTGGCCTTCAATAAAACCAAAATTTAGGTAGGCTTTGTCATACTGTCTAATCTTTTTCTTCGCCTCTGAAGAATCACAGCATTTACGTTTGTCTGCCATTTTTGTTTTGATTTTGCCTGTACGACACGTTGACAAGCAGATTGCCCGAGTGAGCAAAATTTAAATAATTATTTAAAGTTATTTATTTTAATTATTTTCACTATTATGTTGGAATTTTAAGCATGTGTTTAGATATTTTTTTTTTTTTTGGGCTGCTCGATTTTGGGAAAAATCATAATCACGATTATTTTGGTCATAATTGTAATCACGATTATTCAAAACCATTGCCAGTTAAAGTCAAAATTATTAGCGCTCCTGAGATTTTTTTTTTTTATAAATATTTCCCAAATTATGTTTAACAGAGCAAGGAATTTTAACAGTATTTCCTATAATATTTTTTCTTCTATTTGTTTTATTTTAGCTAGAATAAAGACAGGTTTAAATATTTTGAAACCAATTTAAGGTCAATATTATTAGCCCCCTTAAGCAATATATATTTTTGATTGTCTGCAGAATAAACTACCGTTATAATGACTTGCCTTATTACTCTAATTAAGCCTTTGAACTGCACTTTAATCTGAATGCTTGTATTTTGAAAAATATCTAGTAAAATATTATGTGCTGTCATTATAGCAAAGACAAAAAGAAATCAGTAATTAGAAATGAGATATCAAAACTATTATGTTCAGAAATAAGTTAATAAAATATTCTTTCCATGAAACAGAAATTGGGCAGGAAAAGGTTTGCTAATTTTCAAGAGGGCTAATAATTCTGACTTCAACTGTATACATACAGTTATTTTCCACCCTGCAATGGAAAGAGAAATAAATACAATAGAATAAAAATATGAAACAAACTGTGCTTTAAGCATCTTCACTGTAAGAAAAACACTTTAGCTACAGCATTCCTTTAGTCAAGAGCAGCAAAGGTTTTCTCGTTATGTTTGTTTAATAATAATAAAAACAGGCGGCAGAAGGATTATAGCGCGCTGTATCTTTAATGGTTTCTCTTTCACGTCTTTTGATCCTCAACTCGTTTGTTTATTACACAAATGAGGGTTAATGTAAATAATCACTAAACACCGCGTTTTGACACCTATTTGACCATTAAAGCGTTCACGTTAAGATGACTTTAGATGTCTGCGCTCCTCTGCTCGTCTCAGTGTGTGAATGAGAGTGAATGCTGACCGGCCGCATGCTTCTGACTGCGTGATCGTGCTGCACACACACATAAGCTCTTTCGCGCTTTTAAGAGCAACACGTGTACAACTGTGGCGAAATATGATGCAATAATCATTTATCTCGATTAATGCTTTTTTATAATCGTTTGAAACCGAAATCTAAATCGGATTTTCGATTAATTGTACAGCCCTATATAATAGTGGACCATTTTTATGCCTTTTTCTACCTCAATACTTATCCTCTCCCGTGCCCCCCCTGTGAACTCTGGCGCCCCCCTTAGGGGGGCGCGGACCCCAGGTTGGGAACCACTGTCATAATGCATTTGGTTACATTTCACACACTGCAGCTCACACACACACATTGGTGGTTTACATAGACTTTTTACCCTAACCCTACCCCCAAACCCAACCCTCAAAGCAAACCTGTAACATATTTAAATGTGAAAACCCCCAATTAAGTTAGATTTTTTAAACAGTTGTGAATTGCAAGGATTCAAGGCATGTCCTCGTAAACCACACAAACATTGTAATAATTAGTTCATACCCATGTTATTATATAAATGTCCTCATAAACCATTAAAAAACAACACACACACACACACCTACTTGTATACATGGTTTACAGGGACACTCCATAGGCATAATGTATTTTAAACAATAAAATGAAAAAAAACATGGTGTGACCCTGTAAACCACCATACAGGGAGTACAACTAAGAGTACAACTAAGTCATACCCATGTTATTATACAAGCCACATACACCTGTACACACACACACACACACACACACATAAACAAAAAATGTACAGAACAGAGAAAACTCACTCTGACATAGTTTTTGCAATGATCGAAGCTTTAGAGCAGCTCTGTAAACTGCAAGACGAACCTCATTCAGACCTTCTGAGGAAAAAAAAATATATGAAAAAACACGAGTAGACTCCAAAAGAAAAGTCACACTTTATTTGACAACGCTCTTGCTACATGCACTTAAAAGAGGGATGATAGTACATTTTGCATAACTGCATAATGCACTTCTAATAATTAGCAACTCATCACACATAACAAAACCATATTCCTGAGCACATGCTGTTAATTTAAAAGCTGCTGAGTATTTAAATTGACAATTATAATAGACATTGCAAAATAAAATGGAACTGAGAACACAAACTTAGCCCAAACAGGACTGGTAATTAATTGATAAATCTACTTTATAAATAACATTGAGCTTAATATGAAAATTCAACTTTAAACACAAACAATAATAAATAATAATTAATATATACACCCACAAATTGCCATTTATCATCCCTCTCTTTTCAACATTGTCTGACATTTTTAATTCTTAATAATTGAGAGAGTAAACTTACCAATGTTATCCAAATCCATAACAGTCTGCTGCTCGCATAAACTGTTTAAATGAATGAATGAATGAAATGGAATTGAGTTTTGGTTACAGTATACACTCGGTTTTTAAAGTAATGTCACAGATTGTATCTCCCCCTCTCTCTCGCCCTGTGTGTGTCGCGTGAGAGAGATGTTCCAAGTTCCAATAGATTAGCCTAGCATAGCTAACTTATATACACAACAAATAAAGTTATAAAAATAAATAAACAATAAGCTATACATCTAAGAATGAAAAACATACAGATGCTCATGTAACAATTTAACGTCCTGTGTTGACTATTAACATTTTCGACACTGCTTTGCAGAATAGTAATCAAGGTATACAAAAACAGAAGACTAGGCAACCCAGAATATCTGGCAACCACACTCACACCAACACTCACCGCGACCAGTTTTGCGAGGCAAACTCCCATTTGAATTCTACGTAAGTATTACATCCATTCTACACGTCTAATTTACACTTATGGATCATTTCAGATGTCGATGTTTGCAAACGACTTGTATAAGTGTGATGTATGTTGTGCAAAACGCTTCTGCTAGATGACAATGTAGTTACTACTGTACTTAACGTTACACAAGGAAAACGAAAGAAAACAACGAACGTGTAAAGCTCTTTTATCAGACTCGCCTTATAGTTTTAACGAATGTTCACACATAAAGAGTAAATTAAACCGCAGCTCACCTGAACGCTGCGACATGAAATAGTTTCCTTGGGTGAACATCAAACCTCGAGAAACTTGTAAACTAGCGAGTACAAGCTGCCACTTGGTTTGTGTTACTTGTTGTTAATAATATATGAACAGAGCTTGTATTTCACTTTGTGCACGTGCCAGGACTACTAGCTATTATTGGGTTATTGACTCATTGTAACTTTGTGTATTAACATGTATTTCCCCTTTATTGTTATGTAGTACAAATGGCATTACTTTTTAAGTACAAATGTCATTATACAGCCACTTGAGTTTAATATTTATAAATCCTCGCCAACACACTGATTATTATAAATGTTGATAGTAATAATAATGATAATAATAATATTAAAGATGCTAGAAAATCTAAATAAAACTGCAAAAATGCAAACGGATAGTGTCATAAAATAAAATTCAATGAATGAATCTAAATGTAGGGATAATGCATTTTTATCTTAAGCTACACATACTTTAAGAGGGAGGATGAAAAAAAAAGGAAATTACAATTACAAAATAAATCACATTATTGCCCAGGAAGTACATTTATAGCAGAGAATTATGATAACAAGGAGCGTCAAATATGAGAGAATTTGTCAGATGCTCTAATTTTAATGTTTCATCTTTTCCAAGTATAGATATACACTGACCGTCCACTTTATTAGGTACACATGTCCCACTGCTCATTAACATACATTTCTTATCACCCGATCACATGGCAGCAACTCAATGCATTTAGGCATGTAGACATGGTCAAGACGATCTGCTGCAGTTTGAACCGACGGACGGACTGACCTGAGTATTTCAGAAACTGCTGATCTACTGGTATTTTGTGCACAACCATCTCTAGGGTTTACAGAGAATGGTCTGAACAAGAGAAAATATCCAGTGAGCAGCAGTTCTGTGGGCACAAATGCCTTGTTGATGCCAGAGGTCAGAGGAGAATGGCCAGACTGGTTTAAGCTGAATGGCAACAGTAACTCAAATAATCACTTGTTACAAGCGAGCGTTGAACCTTGAGACGGATGGGCTACAGCAGCAGAAGACCACACCGGGTGCCACTCCTGTCAGCTAAGAACAGGAAACTTGCTACAATTTGCACAGGCTGACCAAAATTTGACAATAGAAGATTGGAAAAACGTTGCCTGGTCTGATGAGTCTCGATTTGTGCTGCGACATTCGGATGGTAAGGTCAGAATTTATCAACAACATGAAAGCATGGTTTCTTCCTGCCTTGTATCAACGGTTCAGGCTGGTGGTGGTGGTGTAATAATGTGGGGGATATTGTCTTGGAACACTTTGGGCCCATTAGTACCAATTGAGCATCGTGTCAACACCCAGCCTACCTGATTATTGTTGCTGACCACGTCCATCCCTTTGTAACCACAGCGTACCCTTCTTCTGATGGCTACTTCCAGCATGATAACGCACCATGTCATAAAGCGCGAATGATCTCAGACTGGTTTCTTGAACATGACAATGAGTTAACTGTCCTCAAATGGCCTCCATAGTCACCAGATCTCAATCCAACAGAGCACCTTTGGGATGTGGTGGAACGGAAGATTCGCATAATGGATGTGCAGCCGACAAATCTGCAGCAACTATGTGATGCTATCGTGTCAACATGGACCAAAATCTCTGAGGAATATTTTTTAGTACCAACTTGGTACTAGTAAGATGTACCTAATAAAGTGGCTGGTGGGTGTATAGCATCAGGTGTTAAAGCTAGTGACATCCCAATGCATTAAAACCCATTTTTGAGCCAGTAAAGATGCAAACATTATTATGTTTAGTTGTCTTTGAATTTGAATTAATTCATCAGATGAAATGCCAAATTTGGCACATTTGATGTGTATCGGATGCGGTTTACCAGTAAACAGTTAAAGGGCAAATCCTAAACATGTAAGGTCTTGTCAAAAGTAGGGTAAAAAATATTATCCGATATCTACTTAAGTGTATTTGATGTAAAACTTGTAAAAATGTTAAACTCTGTCGAGCACAAAATGTACTACCATTTACTATGCATAGGGTGCATTACAGTGCAGTTATTAACCTCCATTATCATCTCTGTTCTTCTCCTCTCTATTTCTTCAGAGTTGATCCTGAACCATGAGTAAAAAGGAATCAACTCAAAGGATTCTCCAACATAAAGTCTTCCTCATAGACACTTTATCTGTAGAAGCCAGTTTCATCCTGCAGAATGTGCAACAAGCTAAACTTATCACTCAGCGTGACTACAATAACCTCTCTGATGTTTCCGAAAGAGAGACCAAAATCATCAAACTGCTTGACAAACTCATAGGAAGAGGCGAGGAAACGTGTCAAGAATTCATAGATCTTTTAAGGCAGGATTGTGTGTTGGAAAATTTCCCAGTCTTAGAGGGTCATGCCATTTTTGCTTCTTCAGTGCAGAAGGTGATGTTTATATTTCTTAATTATACTTTCAAAATGATGTCAATGCTGCTATCAAGTTTGTGCTTTATCCACTGATGTATCTACATGGGCTTTATTTCAGGTCTCTCAATACAAAATAACACAAAATCCACGAGGGATCTGTGTAATCATCAATAACGTGGATTTTACCAGCATGGGTGAAAGAAGGGGATCAGACGAGGATCAAAGTTTGTTTTTAATATATATATATATATATATGAGCAATATCACATGAGTAGCAGTCCGATATGGCTGTATATCAGCACTGGTGGGAGGTGTGCGTTGGCACAAGGCCAAAGGCCTTATGCCTCAGCGCCCCAGCAGTGCTAATATACAGCCATATCACACTGCTACGAATGTGATATTGTGTTTATACAACAGTTCGCTGCACAATCTTGTATATAAAAAAGAAAATCAAACACATAGAGTCTAAAACCCTTTTGTATTAGAAACTACTTTTTTTCCGCCATTCATTCACATCTGCAGCTGACGTCAGAACAGCAGAAGCCGTTACTAATTTATCATTGTCACTTTAGAGCTAGTGTTTAAATGATTCTCTATAGCGTAATGTGAAGTGCACTTCTGGTGTGTGACTCCCTTAAGGTGATGACAAAACAGCTGAATTTTGCTCACATTTTAAGATTATAAGGCCGAACGTAACATGAAATGCCATCCGTCTACAGAGATTTCTCCTCACAGTCTATTACAGTATTTCTCTGTTGCTGTCGGTATTGTGACCCGGAGACTTTATGGAATAAAAAAAAGGAGACAGAAACTATTTCGCTCTTCATATTGGCCTTTATGCGTTTCTCCCAAGTTCTGTCGACTACATACATGCTAGTCAATGACAATGAGGAGGCAAAAGGAAAAGAAAAATACACACAAACATTTGTCGCAAAATAAAATGTTACATTATTGAAAAAAGGGAATGATAGACCACTCAGCGAGTGACAACCACACTTTTCCTCAAAGCTGGCTGAACTGAACTGAGCTCCCATACATGCGTGCTTACATCTCAAAGGTAAAACAATCACAGGAATAGTCCTCTTAAAGGGGACTTTATACACAATGCATATCAAACATTAAGCAACCGTTACAATATCACAGTGATTGACCTGGAAAAAATACAGAGCAATTACTAACTTACCAGACTGCTGTTTTGTTTGTGATAAGGAGGAACGAGGCTGAATCCAGGTTCTTATTCGCAGCTTCTTATTTATTAATTATATTCGGTCCACCTTAAAAACCCAAACGCTTCCGTTTTTCAGCTTTTTATTCGCGCTCAGGAAAACACACTAAGCAAGGGCTTATTATGTGGTCTATCTTGTGGATAGACAACGTCTTTGGCCGCCAACGAACTGGCTCTCAGAAAGTGTAAATATTTAAAAATTGGCACGTTTTACAAATAAACTTCATAGTTGCAATCTAAACAACTACATTCTCGACAAAAAAACTGTAAAGTACATTTTGTTGTCTAACAACAGTAATATTTGTCAAACTGCAGCATCTTTGCTTGTTGCTGGCTGTATGTGGGTGGAGTAATTCACAGTGAAGGGTGAAGAGGCCTTTGTGTGATGTTACTGGCAAAATATTGCATGGCTATTAGCCAATCAGATTCAACAACCAGACAGAACTGTTGTATAAACTGTTGTATAAATATATATGTAGTGTATTAACCGTATATGTCAAATGGGGACAAAAATTGGGTCAAATATGGACCAAACCAACCAAGTTATAAGTGTAATGTAAAGTGAATTGAAATAAATTAACCCAACGTTGGATTTGGCCATATTTGATGTTGGTTGTGTGTTTGGTGTTGGTTTATAATGTTGGTTTACAACAACCCAGCATTCATTAAAGTGTAATTTTTATTTAGATTTTTAATTTTGCTTTAATTATTGGTAAATACATTTAATAGGTATTAAAATTTGGTTTATCTTTGGTAAAATCTTACATTTTAACAATTTATTTATTTATTTATAATTTATGAATGGATGGAGTTGCTCAAATTCTCTCTTCCCTCTTTCTCAGATTACCTAGCCAAAGTTTTCCGTTGGCTGGGGTTCGAGGTGGTGGCGCACAGAAATAAAACTGCAGCTGAAATGAAGAACATCTTGCAAGCTCTAGGAAGGACAGTAGATGGAGACTGTTTTGTGTGCTGCGTTCTCTCCCATGGCGTAGAAGAGGGAGTGTGTGGAACTGATGGCAGTCTTGTGTCTGTTGACGAAATACGAAATCCTTTCACTGGCGTCAACTGCCAAAAGCTAGTCGGGAAGCCCAAACTGTTTTTCATACAGGCATGTCGAGGGCAGAGAAAACAACTTCGTGTGAATGCTCAAGCAGATGGTCCAGGAGATGGAGAGTCAGAGATGGAGGTGGATGGCGATGATTTTGACATCACGATCCCATCTGACACAGATTTCCTGATTGCCAGATCAACCACCGATGGACACGTTTCTTACAGAAAGCCTGACGAAGGCTCCTGGTTTATTCAGTCACTTTGTAGAAACCTGGAGAAACACTGTCCACTGTAAGTTTATAAGAATGTCCTGAGCATTTGCATGTTTAGTATGAATATTTTAGGATTACAAACTGATAAAACTATGTAAATATATTTATTATTTTTAACTATATGTACTAATTTGGTTATGTATGTATTTGTATGTTGCCAGGGGTGCTGACATCCTGACCATCCTGCTTTCTGTGAATAATGAGGTTAGCATTCAGGGGCTTCACTCCAAACAAATGCCCGTCCATGAAGTCGCCATGAGGATGAAACTGATCCTGCCGCCAGTGAATAACTGAAAGCTCCTATACTGTCTGTGTGAGGCCAATATATCACTCCCAGGATGTTCAATGGGATCATTTTTTTATTTGACTGAGTATAATACTGCATGCATTTGTCCTTCTGGATGTGGGTATTTTTTAAAACCTTTTTTAAATTGGGAACAAAGGTGTTTGGGCATAACCTCAGGGGAATAATGAGCCATTTTAGATTAACATATTTATCTAATCTTTGTCACTTTTTTATAAACAGCATTTATTTGCTGTATTTTTCCTGGTATTAACACAATTTATATAGTTTTCTATGTACTTTCTGAATTCAGTGTACACTCATACTATTATTCTATGATAAAATAATGTTTAAGTAATTTAGTTTACCTGCGTTTTGATATATTAAGGGATCAGCATCTGAACATCAAGTCAGCACAAAAACACGTCAAAGTGTCGGATGATAAAACAGAATGTTTCAAATGGTACAATTTACTTTATTCACATTAGTCACGTGGCAACAACTGGAATACTTCATCTTAAATATCAGTAATATGTAGTCATCACAACTAGTAGGAACTTTTTTATTTTTTAACCGAGGTTCATTATTGATACGTACCTCTATGTACATTTCTGGAGATTGCAAAATACGCCCCAGGGGGTAAGTTGTTTTGCAGTTATTGTTATTGTTTTTGCGAATCCACCAGAGGCTGCTGTATACGCTTTTTTCAGATCTCAAGTTTCTTTTGAAAGTGCCATTCGCGCCTGCTGTTTTTGCATAAATCCACAAGTGGCCACTGACTGATTACCCCACCTCCTACCCCAAACCCAACGACAGTGTTTTTAAAAGAAATTCAGAAAAAGAAAAGGCCTCACGACCGCCTGATTTTTTTCCAAGTTTTTAGATTTTACCATGTAGTCACCCTGTTATGTACTTGTTTATTTTATTTTTTGCCTTTTGTTTTCATTTTAGCTGCTTTCTGGAATCGTTCTTTGCCACACTTGAACCCCGTCATCACGGTCAACTCCTCTCTGCGTCTCAATCCGCTGCCGCAAAGGGCGAGCTACTGGGAAAACTGCTAACAACGAAAAGGCTGTCTACATGGAGAAAAGTGGTCAGCTGGAAAGCGCAAAAAGAAACAGAAACTGTGGGCGTGTCATACCGATCCCTATCATTCGTTATAAAGGCGAAATGCAGCCATACATAGCTCTGGCTACATAATTTGTGCTCTCCAGAAATGTATATGGGGTACGTTTTCACAATGAGCCTGTGTTGTTGTTTTTTTAATTGCTTGGATAACTCTGAATCTTTTTTTTATCTGTACATGTCTACGAAAGTCTAGAAATGATTTTTGTAGTATAATACAATTCAGTTAAAATTAATCAGCTCCTGATTCCATGAAAATTAGAAGCTCCATTGAGTGCACACAATAAAATAGGGACGTGCAAAATAGAAGCAGTTAGCCAGACCCACTGCCAGCTTTGAGATAACATATGTCCAGAACAAAATCTTCTGTGTTATTCTTTCTAATAAATTCACATCCAACATACACACTCTGAGAGAATGAGCTCTAGAAGTCATGTCAGAAGCGTCCACACCTCCTTGTTGGCAGATCTAGTCATTATTAGCATGGAGTTTGTGGTTTTTACAGTCATTGGTCAACACAGTGTATTTTAGTTCCAGTTTACCTTTAAATGAATGGGAGACTTCTCTGGGAAATTTACAATATGAAAAAATAAATGTTTCTCTTTCAATGCTGAATTGATTTCTGAGTTTAAATATGATTGTTTAAGGTTATTAATAATAAGCTATTGTTTATCAAGGAAGTTTATGTTTGCAACCTTATCACTTAATAATTCAGTTTTTCCTCAATAAAGGATTTATTTTTATTTTGATGCTGCTATGAATATAAATTTATATTATCTGTTATATGTAAATGTTTCAGCATGAGTAAATTCTTAATTAAATCTCATTACTGGTATGTTTATAAATATCTATAAATGCAATCAGTTTCATCGTTTATTATTTACTGATCCATTAATTATTTTGTTTAGTTTCTCAGTTTGAATGAATTAAGACTGTCCTACCGCAACCTGGGAGGATTTAATTTGATATTAGTACTACATTTTAATAATGTTACAAATAAATTCAGAATCTAATAATTCTGAATTCAAATGCAGTTTTCCTGGTGTTATATTTTCACTTGTAGTTTTTATAATGATTTTGTTTTATATAGACATAAATGTTTTCTGTTCATAATTAAATTACCTATATACGAAAAAATGTCAGAGAACTGAGCAGTAGAATGTGAGTAATATGAATGTGTTTAAGAATCAGCTGTCCACTGTAAACAGCCCACAGTAAAATACCCACCGTTTTATTCATTATGTATTCTTCAGGACACAAAAAAGAATAAAAATAAATTTGACCTAAATGTTCAGCACTCGTGTAAACATCTGAAATCTTTATTTGACAAATGCTGACAAGTACATATCAACCTCATGCAGCAACACAAAGCAATATACAAGAAAAAGTCCCACTTTCTTAATTGGTTCAAGCGGAAATCTGGATAATCTGTATTTTTTTAGACGTCTCACCTTGATTGCAGACAACAGAAGACAACCGTATCTGTAGTAAATATACAGCTGACTGGGTGGGTTCCCGCTTGACGTCATGTGAAAAGGGTCTGATTTACTGTAAAAACTTACTTTACTCCACCCCTAGCCAGCCGGCGTCTGTCTACACTCGGAACTAGTATCTGTAAAAGCTTCACTAAAAATCGTTTTGATAAACGACAGATTGTTAGACTGTATACGACTGTTTACGACTATCATAACCGATTTTAGTCAATTTTGAGCTTGTTAAGAGCACCCAAGCCTGACACTCTGTCACCCAAGCCTGTCACTAGTTAATTATGATCTAAGGAAAACTCATTTCACCAGGACGTTTTCCGTAAGTATAGCCTATACTATAACGTTAGCATTTATTTTATAATTATGTCCAAATTGGTCGATGTCAAAAGATTTGTAAAAGATTGTGTAAACGTGTCTGAAGTTGTTCAAATACTTTCATACCTGTTTACATTGATTTAAAGAAAGGGAAAACGAAAGCAAGTTAGGCTTGGCTACGTTTCGGAAGACAAAGATTTTATATACTTTCTAATAGACTATAATATAATAACTGGGTAACATTTGAAAGATATACAATTATATAAGGATTGAGTGAAATAAACAGTCTGTCACCTGCCACACACACACGACCTGTGGCGACCGATTTATAAAGGTGCTAAGCCGAAAAGAAAATGAATAAATATAGAGCTTGATGACTTTTCTAGCCTCTCTTGTAAAAAGTATAATTTGAAAATTAATGGATAACAGCAGTAGGTAGGTAAAGAAGTATTAATTTTTGTTCCTTTTAAGAATAAGGTTCAAGATTTAGAATAAATGAAGTTCCTTGTAAAATGTTTTTTTTCTATTTGACAACAATACAGTAGGTCAGTAGTGAAAGATTACGTCATTTACATCAGATTCCGCGTGGTCTTAAAGCCTTTTATTTGTTATTTTCACAATAGAGTGGAGAAGGGAGAAACTATGACGTCAATTTGTATGCAAAAACCCGGAAGCGAGTTAGCATTTTAGCACTTCCGGTTTCCTCGTCCTCAAGTCAATGGGTTTTTTGAATGGGGTTTCAGTAAAAGCGCTTAAATAAGGTCTGTGGCCAACACAATTTCAAGACAATTTCACGTTTTGTTCTACGACATAAAACACATCAGTTACAGCACACTCTTGCATTTTTAAATCGGTTACGCTTCTTTTAAAAGAAGGTTGCAATCAAGTTGCTAAATGGGACTAAAGTCGGTGTCGGGGACATTATACGTCATCGAGCTGATCTGGTCTGGAGCGCAGCTCGTTTGTGTTGGGCATTTGGATTTGTCTGTGATTTAGGTTATTTTCATGAAGAGTATTTTATAGTGTTGTATTATTCTAATTGGGAATTCAGATTGTGTGTTGATAATTCTTTCACTTATAAAGGCTGTCGAGACAGATTAATCTGTTAATCATTTATTTTTAATTAAACGATATTATGAAGATACTGCTGACCAGTGCTGCCTGTCTCTCTCCTACTCTCAGTAATGCAAATGTGTGAATAAATGTGTAAAAATACACACATATTAACTGTCATTAAAACGTGATCAAGTGATTTTTTTCGTGCTTTTTTCTTCATCTGAACACATTTAACTCTGTCGAACTGCAATATTTACACTACTCTATAAAATGTATAGCAGATGTGACTGTATAAGCTTCTCTTCACTGTACTTCGTGACAAAAAAAGGAATATTGATTGTTGCTCTGTGTCCATGATGATGGAACTTGCAGGCATTTGATAGACTTGTTCCTCACGCCTAATTTCTGTGGTCTGTTAAGGTAAGCAGGCTGTGCACGCGAGCGATACACTTACTTAAATATGTCTTATGCTAATACTATAGAGGCAGATTCATACACACAGTTTTAAAACTTTTAGAACAACCGTAAAGCAAAACAGATGTATTTCCCATGTAAAAAACGATCCAAAAGGCACATAGGTCTCTGTGTTTTTGCCTATTTATTTGTTTATAATATATAGCGTGGATTATAATATAATATACAGAGAGATTAACTCTTTGTCATGGACATTATATCTAAAAATAAGCTTGAAAAGTTGTCTATAGCAGGGTGGGGCTGACGTCACAGGCGCGTGCCCCGAGGGCTCTGTAGTCCGTTTATAGCCTAATGTTAGCTTTTCAGTTCTTGCATTTGCATTAAAGATCCAAAAGTGCTTAAAGTTGTATCTTCGTGTGAGGATTATCCGACTGGACAAAACGTGTAATGAACAGTGTTTGAACACAGAGTTTATTATTTGCAATCTTCGTAAAGCCTATGGGAAAATCCTATAGTTTTATGCTAGCAGCCGATTAGCCTACAAAGTGACGTCATAGTTCCTCCACTCTATTTATGATGGTATAGCAGTGGGGGGCGGGTCTTGTGAAAAAATAAAACAAACAAAAAAATCTGAAAAAATAAAAATTCACACATGAGTTTTTCACAAACTTCAATAGAGTGTAAAAAAATCTTGATGTTCTGTGGGTCTCGTCTTTAAAATCTGATCTTTATTTTGTATTAAATTCAAGTCAGGTCAGGTGATTGGCTGGGATGTCCACCCTGGTTCATCCTCATCATCCTGTTAATGTAGATGTTGGACTGAAGCAGCTGATATTAATTTACAATGACGAAGAGCTGAGGGTTGCTGAATAATTACTAAGAGCTTTCGTCTGCTGTCTGGGCTTTCACTGCCTTTCTACACCTCCCTTTCTTCATGTGTTCAATATTCTGTGTAATTTCATTTTATTACGCATAACTTATTTTATAAACTAATTAGATTGAGGTTTTCTTTGCATATATGGATTTCTTTGGTTGCTTTAAACATCCAGAAATTTTTTCATGTCAACAACACCTTTAAAAATATGTTTTCTGAGAAAAATGGTAACATGTTTAATACTTATTTTTCCTGCTGTATCTTAGAAAAAAACTAGCATTCATACATTTTTTATAGTTCAGAAATGTTTCCATTGTCCTATTCCTTTAAATGGATTATAGATTATTAATACTTTTTATTACTATCCATTTTTTGAGACGCTGCTAGTCTTGTCTTCTCAGAGGGAAACAGCATAAATCTGCTTCAAAGTGAATATGAACAGTTTGACAAACTAACATTTCAGTTTTCTCTGATTTTGCAGAAAAGATTTTGAACTATGGACAAAAAGGAATCAGTTGATAAGATTTGTGAAAATAAAATCTTCCTGTTGGAGACTTTATCCGTAGATGCCAATTTCATCTTGCAGCATGTGCAACAAGCCAAACTTATTACTCTGCGCGACTACAATAACCTCTCAGATTTCCCTCAAAGAGAGACCAAAATCATCAACCTGCTTGACAAACTCATGGGAAAAGGGGAGGAAACCTGCCACCAATTCATAGCCCTTTTAAGGCAGGATTGTGTGTTGGAAAATTTCCCAATGTTAAAGGATCATGACATTTTTGATTCTTCAGTGCAGGAGGTGATGTTTATATCATCTAATTATACATTCAAAATGATGTAAATGATTTCATCATGTGCTTTATCCACTGATGTATCTACGTTTACTTTTATTTCAGATCTCTCCATACAGAATAATTAAAAATCCACGAGGGATCTGTGTAATCATCAATAACGAAATCTTTTCATCCTTCCTGAGATCAAGAACAGGATCGGATAAGGACCGAGGTTAGTTTTTTTAAAAATTCTGAACTGTTATCAGGAAATTGTCATTAGATATTACCATATATAACAATGAGTCATATGCTGTATGAAACATATCTGTGTGCTGATACTTTATGAATGAAACGAAGACGCAAATGCTAAACTCAATGACCAACAATCACAAGCAAATTAAGAGCACAACAGGCCACATATGAAATGCTAATGATTACAAAAGCATTCAAATAATCATAATTTATTTAATGAACTATTATTTAAAAAGAATATTGTACTTTTTTATAAATATAAACACAATTGTAATTTGAAAATTATTTAAAGATAGATGGATTGAGTTGCTTATGTTCTTTCTTCACTCTTTCTCAGAGTACCTAGCCAAAGTTTTCCACTGGCTGGGTTTCGAGGTGGTGGAACACAATAATAAAGATACAGCTGAAATGAGGAACATCTTGAAAGATCTGGGAAGGACAGTAGATGGAGACTGTTTTGTGTGCTGCGTTCTCACACATGGCGTAAGGGAAGGAGTGTGTGGAACCGATGGCAATTATTTGTCTATTGACGAAATACGAGAGCCTTTTACTGGCGTTAACTGCCAAAAGCTGGTCGGGAAGCCCAAACTGTTTTTCATACAGGCATGTCGAGGTGACAACTTTCTGCAAGCTTGTGTGAAAGTTGAAGCGGATGCTGGAAATTCAAAAGCGAAGGTGGAGGGTGATAATTTAGACATCACCATCCCGTCTGACACAGATTTCCTGATTGCCAGATCAACCACCGATGGACACGTTTCTTACAGAAACGTCAGCGAAGGCTCCTGGTTTATTCAGTCGCTATGTAGAAACCTGGAGAAACATTGTCCACGGTACGTTTGATAGATGTAGTTTATGATATAGGTGTTTCATAATTACAATAAAAAAAATGTATACAATTTAGACAAAACGAGTAAGAAAATGTATGTGTACTGAAAGATTGCTCAGAAACATACAGAGTGTACACTTTATTTTTATATAGTTATTTTGTTTTACTCTTATGTTCCCAGGGGTGCTGACATCCTGACAATCCTGCTTTATGTGAATAATGAAGTGAGCAGTCAGAAGAGCATAAGGAAACAAATGCCTATCTATGAAGTGGCCTTAACGAGGAAACTATTCTTGCGGCCAGTGAATCCCTGAAAAATCCTAGTGATGACTGTCGGACTTTATACGTCATTGGGATTTCATGGAGTAATCATGGATGATTTACCAGAGAATTTATTAGGACAGTGGCTTTCAATGCCAATTCTAGGATCGGCGTCCTGGGATCAGTTATTACAATTTAAAATTATTGGTTCTTTAGCAAAATAGTCGACTCTGCCAAAAGGCAAAGCTCTCGATTTACCGGTCAATCTACATTCCTACTCTCACCTATGGTCATGAGCTTTGGGTCATGACCGAAAGGACAAGATCTCGGATGCAAGCGGCCGAAATGAGTTTCCTTCAAAGGGTGGCAGGGCGCACTCTTATGCATAGGGTGAGGAGCTCTGTCCCCCAGGAGGAGCTCAGAGTAGAGCCGCTGCTCCTCCACATCGAGAGAAGTCAGCTGAGGTGGCTCAGGCATCTGTTTTGGATGCCTCCTGGACGCCTACCTAGGGAGGTGTTCCAGGCATGTCCCAGGCCTCTGGGAAGACCCAGGACACGCTGGAGGGACTATGTCTCGCGGCTGGCATGGGAATGCCTCGGGATCACCCCGGAGGAGCTGGAGGAAGTGTCTGAGCAGAGGGAAATCTGGTGTTCTCTCCTAAGACTGCTGCCCCTGCGACCCGGCCCCAGAAAAGCGGCAGAAAATGAATGAATAAATGAATAATTCAAATATCGCATGGTCCTTCAGACCCTTTGCTTTGACACTCATATATTTAAGTCAGTAGCTGTCCATTTCTTCTGATCACCCTTGAGATGAGGCTACGCCTTCATTTGAGTCCAGCTGTGTTTGATTATACTGATTGGATGTTACGTAGTCTTATGCACATTTTTAACCTTTTTTTTTTTTAACTTAAACTGTATTTGTTATTCTGTTTACTAATTTTGTATTTGGGGACTAAATGACCCCAGTAATTCTGTTTAATTCTCAGCTTTACTTTATTAATGTGTTTTTGGAGATATGACGTACTTCTGTGCCTACTTTTCCAGAAAAATCCTCAACTACCCCTTCCACCTGTATGTAAATTATTACATTTTTTCACTTCAAGTCAAGTTTTATTGTCATTCTGCTACATGTGTGGACATACAGAGGAATGAAATGTGTCTCGCAGGATAACGGTGCTACAATACGTAAATGAAATATAAATTCAAATACAGCACTGGATATAAGACCTATTTAAAAAAATAAAAAAATCAATTTCTGGAGATCGCAAATTAGCCAGAAATACGTATGGCTGCATTTTGTCTAAAACAAACACTAGGGGGGCGGTATGACGCCATTCCAATTCGCACTTCCCAGACAGCTTACCTCTGTATGGACGATGGCTTTTTCACTGTTATCAGTTTGTCCAGTGGCTTGCTACATATGTCGCCAGACTTGAGATGCAGAGAGGAGTTGATTGTGATGATGGGGTTTAAGTCTGGTTAAGAATGGTTCTAAAAAGCAGGTTAGACTAAAACAGAAGCCAAAAAATAAAAAAGTAAATAACAGGGTAAGAATGTGGTTAAATCTGAAAACGTGGTAAAAATCAGGCGAAGGCTGGCCGGTTGGGTTTAAAGTGGAAGTGGGTGGGCGGGTCAATCTGTGCTTTTGAAAAATACATTGATTGGGTTTAGGGAAGGAGGAGGGTGGGTCAGTCAGTCGACAGCGGCCTCTGGTGGATTTACGTGATAACAGCAGGCGCGAATACACTCACGAGAGAAATTTGAGATCTCAAAAAGCATACACAGCAGCCACAGCGATGGATTTGCGAAAACAAACACTGCAAAAAATTAAAAAAAACACCTGGGACGTATTTGGTGCTCTCCAGAAATGTATATAGGGGTATGTTTTCAGATTGAGTCTGGGTAGCAACCCACCTGTTGCTTAGTGATGAAGCTAAATGTATTAGTTCACGAAAGAATACGTTTTGACCAACTGAGGACTAATTTCAATTTTGGTATGTGGCCAACCGCTAACAAACAGGAATAATTTTATTTACGTAAGTATTTTATTAAAGATTTTAATCACTTGTCATCAATATGGGTTTTTAGACGAGTTGTTAAAACATTTCTCTTTAGCTGAGTTGCAGTTATTGTTGTATTCTAAACTCTTATCAGTGCAATAAGAATCATATTCTGATATCATAACATATAAGCTAATGTCTGTCCTCTTTGAAACACACTCCACATAAATACAACTTTAAATGTTGAAAAGCCAAGCAGTCCAACTACACATTCATTCCTCAAGCTCAAAAAAAGAGTAATTTGGATCCTGAGTAATTAAAATTTTTTACTTTTTAATAGTAGAACTGTTTACAATACAGCATTTTTGCAAATTTAAAACATTTAGCATGTATAAATATATTTAAAACAATTGAATACAAAACCAGTTGCATTATTTTAAGTACAATAAAATGCACTTAACAATGTTCAATTTAAAAAAAGAGAGATGTCCATTGATGCATATTGTTGATGGGGTGTGAAATAAAATCTTCACAAATCATGTTTTCACCTAAAAAGGCCAAAAATTGGGAGGATAATATCTATTCTACACAATTTAATTTGTCTAATGTATCTATTTACAATATCCTTATAGACAATGATTGCTTAGGATTAGCGATTCTTAATGCTAGTCCAAAATAAAAACATTTACAAAATGCATTTAATCTTCGGCAATTAATCTTGCTAAATAATTTAAACTGTTATCTAAGAGCTGTCCTAGGCCACTGGTGATTTATCAGCTATTTATGGTCTCCTAAATGAGGTCAATCATTAACTTGTGGTTATAAAAAAAAAAATCAATATGACCCATAGGGACAAGGAACTACACCGTTTCTGTTTTAAACAGTAGAACAATCGGCACTATGAAATGCAGCTGATAATTAAAAACTCTCTGAATTTGTTCTTTTAAATTAAACAACTAAAAACAATATTTAGATATAAAATTCAATCCCATGGCAAAATGTGAAAATGCTAATATTGTAAAATATTACAAATTAATAAATCTTTGCACTGCAGTATTCATTTCTTACTTAACCCATACCCAAATAATGTACATCCAAAAACCCTCTTTTTCCAATAGGTTATTCAATGTAATTCAAATATAATCTGTTAAATAGACTTAAGCATCCATTTGGTTGTTAAAGTGTAAAAAGAGATGAAAGACGGTTTAAACGCAGGCGCCTTCATTAGCCGCAGGATGGCGCAGAAACTCTATTTAAAATACTGGGGTAAAATATGTTTCCATATTTTAAAGACATACTGTGGAAAAATATAATTTGATGCAGTGCTTCTTGTTTGGTCTGATACACACTTTATATCATATCTCAGCCAGGTAATGAAGATCACTGTTTTTTTAAGAAATCAGATCTTAAACTTGGCGATTTTGTGTGGGATGACAATTAACCTGAAGCCCTCAGGCTGGCTGACTAAAATTAAAAGTCTGCTTGCATTTACCCCATTCCCTGAGAATAAAACCATTGGCTTTGGTTCCTAGTACCATGCATTAATTTTAAAAAATAGTTTAACATATCTACATAATTTAGACATGCAGATGTAACAAATTAATCTCTGTGCTTGTCTTTTAGAAGTGATGGCATATTGTCATCCTGCAGCCGATTAGGAGACTCCATTCATGGGCAGGACCAGTGCTTTGGTCAGAGTGTAGCGAACCTCAGGCATCTGCTTGTAACCCTGTAGAATTTTGGAGCCCACTACTCCATTTACCGCGGTTAAAATTGAGAGTATGTCCTTTTTCCTACAAAACAAGAAAAAAAAGTTATAAGTAGGCAAGTATATAGGAGAGTTTAGGGTCTCACCACCCTCAATACCATGACTGAGATGACAATCTTGAGACCCCCAACTGCTCTATTTGAGCACCACATCAAAAATGGCTTCCCACTAGTTTTTGTACAGTTAAAGTCTAAATTATTCACCTTCCTTTGATTTTTTTTTCTTTTTTTAAATACTTCCCGAATTATGTTCAACAAAGCAAAGACTTTTTCCACAGTATTTCCTTTTTTATATATTTTTCTACTATAGAAGAATGTTTTATTTCAGCTAGAATAAAAGCATTAAAAAATACCATTATTAATATTGAACATTAATATTACATATCAATATTATTAGCCTTCTTAAGCAATATTTTTTATTGTCTTCAGAACAAACCATTGCTGCATATTGACTTGCCTAATTACCCTAACTTGCCTTATTAACCTAGTTAGGCCTTTAAACTACACTTTAAACTGAATACTAGTGTCTTGAAAAAATATCTAGTAAAGTATGTACTGTTATCATGGCAAAGATAAAATAAATCAGTTATAAGACATTAGTTATTAAAACTATTATCCGTTAATCAGAAATTGGGGGAAAAATACAGTGGGGCTAATACTTCAGGATGGCTAATAATCTTGACTAACTATAATATAATATAATATAATATAATATAATATAATATAATATAATATAATATAATATAATATAATATATTTCCCAGGGATGGGTTGTGGCTGGAAGGGCATCCGCTGCATAAAAACGTGCTGGATAAGTTGGCGATTCATTCTGCTGTGGTGACCCGGATTAATAAAGGGACAAAGCCGAAAATGAATGAATGAATAATATAATTTAATAAATTTTTATAAATGTAAAATATATTATGGTGTTTTGAGAGAACAAACCATATTTTGTTGCCATGATGCTTTGCACTTTTGAACACTGAAAACTGAAGCTAAAGTGCTGCTATTAACAACACTTTTGGTTTGTTGGTCCTTTAACTTTATTTTTAAGTCTTCTGTACTTTGATTGGCTAGATGATCCAATCTCTTGTGACTGGTCTAGCACTTATGATCCATGTTGGAAACCAGAGCCCCATTATGATAACTCAATTTCAGCTACACTACTTGCGAACAGTAATATGAACAGTAAGGATTGCATCAGTTTTACCATATCAATAAATCAGAGACCTTATTTGCTGGAAATGCATGCAAAGCTGATTTTACATCTCACTGTGCAGAAAATTATTTATCTGAGCTCCAAAATACCCAAAAGAGCTAAATAACATTAGGTTATTACTGTTAAAATACAAATAAGTTCTTAAATGGTCACTAACATTTTCTAAAATAATAAATAAATAAATTATAACCACAACTCACTGTGCACAGCCCCTTTCCAGCTGCTTGCAGAGCACCTGAATAAAGATGGACCCATTTGTAATGTGGCGGTAGGATCTAAAATGCTCCACCGTTGCAATAGCAAAGAGGAAATCTGCATCCATAGGGATACTGTAATTCCCTGCAGCATGAGCATCCTCCTCATATGCTTCCTCTTCTGTGGTGTTCTCCCGCTCATGTGCCATCCACAAACCTTGCTGTCTCATATTGCCCTGACAGGCCTGAATGAAGAACAGTTTGGGTTTACTGGCTAGAGAACGGCATTCAGCAAACGGCTGTGAGAGTTCACGAATCGGAACTTGTTTTCCGTCTGTTCCCAGAACAGTGCCTTTCTCTCCATGGGTGAGGATGCAGCAGACAAAAGCATTCATCTGAGAGTGATCCTTCTCTGCAAATTCTTTTATCACATTTCGCATGTCTGAGGCTTGTAAATCGTCCCGCACTTCAACTTTGAAATACATTTTCTCAAAGACTTTGGTGAGATCGTCTAAGAGACAAAGTAAAATAGAGTTACGTCTTTACCATAAAGCCATTAGCAGCTATGGTTTTGCAGTTTATTTGATTAACTATTAATAAAATGTCTTCAAATTTGAAAGTAAGAATATTATCAATTAGAGCATTTAAGTGACAATGACTTAGTATAACTTATTATGTTTTCATACCTAAAATAAAAGGAGGAAGTATCCATTTATAAACACACACTAAAAACTGTAATTTTAGCAAGTAATCTTTCTAAATGATATTGTTCCTCGAAATTATGAACCTTATTAGTACAAAATAAAATAATACAAAATCACAAACAAATATTTAATTCAAGCCCATACAAATTAGTAGCAAATTCAGAAAACTGGTAATACTTTAATGTGGTTATACTCGTTAAACACTCACCGGCCACTTTATTAGGTACAACTGTTCGTTAATGCAAATCTCTACTCAGCCAATCACAAGGCAGCAACTTTAATGCATTTAAGCATGTAGACATGGTCAAGACGATCTGCTGCAGTTCAAACTGAGCAACAGAATGGGGAAGAAAGGTGATTTAAGTGACTTTGAACATGGCACGGTTGTTGGTGCCAGACGAGCTGGTCTGAGTATTTTAGAAACTGCTGTGATCTACTGGGATTTTCATGCACAACCATCTCTAGGACTTGCAGAGAATGGTCAGAAAAAGAGAAAATATCCAGTGAGCGGCAGTTCTGTGGGCACAAATGTCTTGTTGATGCCAGAGGTCAGAGGAGAATGGCCAGACTGGTTTAAGCTGAAAGGCAACAGTAACTCAAATAACTACTCGCTACAACCGAGGTATGTAGAAGAGCATCTCTGAACGCACAACACAGCCAACCTTGAGGCGGATGGCCTACAGCAGCAGAAGACCACACCGGGTGCCACTCCTATTAGATAATAACAGGAAACTGAGGCTACAATTCACACAGGCTTACCAAAACTGGACAATATAAGATTGGAAAAATGTTGCCTGGTCTGATGAGTCTCAGTTTCTGCTGCGGAATTTGGATGGTAGGGTCAGGATTTGGCATTAACAACATGAAAGCATATATCCATCCAGTATCAATGGTTTAGGCTGGTGGTGGTGGTGTAATGGTGTGGGGGATGTTTTCTTGGCACACTTTGAGCTTGTTAGTACCAATTGAACATCGTGTCAACAGCACAGCCTACCTGAGTATTGTTGCTGACCATTTCCATCACCTTATGACCACAGTGTGCCCATCTTCTGATGGCTACTTCCAGGAGGATAATGCACCATGTCATAAAACAAATGATCTCAGACTGGTTTCTTGAACATGACAATGAGTTTACTGTACTCAAATGGCCTCCACAGTCACCAAAGCTCAATCGAATAGAGCACCTTTGGGAAGCTAGATTCACATCATGGATGTCTGCAGCAACTGTGTAATGCTGTCATTTCAATATGGACCAAAATCTCTATGGAATATTTCCAGTACGTTGTTAAATCTATGCCATGAAGGACTAAAACAGTTCTGAATGCAAAAGTGGGTCTAACACGGTACTAGTAAGGTGTACCTAATAAAGTGGCCGGTGAGTGTATACATATATTTTCCTACAAAATGCACTCAATACCTTTATCTCTATCAGTCCCTCTCCGGTCTGCAAGTGATGCACTTTCAAATTTATAATTGTTGATGATCAAACAATATCCAAGAGGTCGATTTGACATGGAATAGCACTCTTTCTGCTCTGTCACTGAGAAAATAAGTAGAGTTTAGGAGAAGGGCCAAGCCCTAGCTAGTAGTAATCGATTATTTAAAGCCCTTACCTGCACGCTTCCTTTTAGGATAATGGTCAGAAATATTGCAGGTGGATTGAAGAGGCTCCCGCTGTCTTTTAGGTGAATTATTATTTTGGACACCTTTATGTAGGTTTTCCTTATCTTCCTTCATGACATAAATATAAAAAATACTATAAATATCGAAATATTATGGCCAGGAAATATAATTATATTAAACAGCATGTACCTCAAATAACTTCCACCGAATGGAAAACTCACCTGTGATGTATTTTTCCTCTTCGGTTCATCTGTTTTGATTTTCTCTTGCTCATTTGGGGAAGCTCGATTTATTTGATTACTGTTGTTAGGATTACTAGTTTTATCCATCTGACAGTAATAAAATCATAAAATGTAAACAGACTTTAAAGAGGAAATATATCCTGTGTTTTTATACACTTTAAATACCAAGTGTTGATGCACTCTTAAGCACAATAGCGTGGAGAAATAAGGCTTTTCTACATAAAAGTAAAACATGAACATGTAAAAGCACTCACCTCGGTCAGTCGAAAAAAAGCTTAACTGGCTCAGTGCAGGAGACTCTCGAAGATAATATGTCGATTTAAGCGATTGCCGATTCGACGGAGTGAAAGTGGACTGAGACACGCAGAGGGTGAGCGAGAGAGAGAGAGAGAAAAAAACAAAATGAACAAAAGCCCGCGAATTTTAGACTCCGCCCCTAGGAAAAAAAGATTAAATGGCTGTAGGTCTACTGGAGAATGTCAAAGTGAAACAAAATCTTTAAAAGACTTTCATTTCATTCAATACATTAAGCATGGGCATCTCATTTCTGTCAACCATCATGTGCAATATTTGTTAATATTATTATTCATGTGTACAACCTGCAACAATAAGCAGCTTATTCATTTTTACTAATTTCTCACTATTTTTTAGTTTTTGTAGGGGGGAAAAAGTGGATTCAACCAGATTGACATACAAATTTTACTAATGGATTTAGTTTTTATAGACTACAAGTCTTAATATGCATATGAGGGAAATCTATCAAATGACACGAGAGAATTTGAATCGAATATTAGACCACCAGCATAATTATACCTCTGTTGGAATACAGGTGGTATAAAACTAATAGTGATCGAATTACCCATGAATATATTTCAAAAATATAGCTTAAGTTAAAAAGGATCACTTCAATCTCGACTATGCACACTGAGAGAAACCGAAAGTAAAACTAAACTGAAAATATATAGTGCAGTATCTTAAATGTCCAATAGGTAGCGGGTTAAAACCACAAGTGTCACCTTGGAATGATAAGGTTCTCTCTGCGTTTTGAATGATTTTGAGATATTGAGCTTGAAAGATTTTGCATTCCATATAGCAAACAGTATATGTGTAACATTTATTTTAAATAAAAAGTAATGAAACTTAAAAAAACTTATTAAAAAACATCCCATAATGTAAATTAGGTGTCATTTAATAAGAATGTCAAAACCTCAATTTTGACAAAAATGTCCGATAGAACCTTATAATTCTAAGGTGAAAAGGTATCTACAGTATATGCACCTGCACAACAATCATATAAAATAATTAAAAATATATCAAATTAAAATATAAAATCAAAAATATATATTTTGGTGGGCTGAATCTCAGTTGTGGGCCAAATGGAGGAGGAGAGGGGTTTAAATAGCAGATTGAGACCCTGGCCTATGCAAATGGCAATAAGCAAAAAATTCTTATCCCTCTTATTTCAATTAGCATGTTGAAACCTTCAGTAATCCTTCATAACATTTGAGCCCTTTATAGTTATAATTAACATTTTGTGTAACCACATTCATGATTATGAGGGTTGTGAATCAAATAGTGAGTTAGACTGTTAACCCAAAGGTTGCTGGTTTAATTCCTGGTCTAGGCAGGAATTGAAGATGGAGGGGAATGAATGAGCTGCACTCTCTCCATCTTCAAAACTCAGCTCAGGTGCCCTTGATCAAAGCATCTAACCCCTAACTGCACCCCGGGTGCTGGAAGCAATGCACTCCCCACTGCTCCAGGTCTGATCACAGTTTGTGTTTGCTCTAATGCAGGGGCGTCAAACTCAATTCCTGGAGGGCAGAAGCCCTGCACAGTTTAGTTCCAACTCTGCTCCAACACACCTACCTGTAGGTTTCAAACAAGCCTGAAAGACTCAATTAGTTTGATCAGGTGTGTTTAATTAGGGTTGGAACTAAACTGTGCAGGGCTGCGGCGCTTTTGGATCTGAGTTTGACACCTGTGCTCTAATGTCTCACTAAATATGTGGGTGTGCTTTTGCATAGGTTAAAAGCAGAGGACCAATTTCGAGTATAAGATGTGTTGAGGCCCACTCTTCAACTGTCACAGAGAGGGGGACCACTGTCTAATCTTCTGACATAATGCCCAGGATTGCTGGCTAGACCACTGGGTAAAATCATACATGATAAGGCTCACTCCACATTCCTTACAGGGTTGAAGTCACAATTATTTGCTCTCCATAAATTATGTTTAACAGAGCATTTTTCACAGCATTTATTGTTTCATTTTGGCTAGAATAAAATCGTTTTTTAATAATAATAAAAAAAAATGTTTTAGGTCTATATTATTTCATTTTTTAAAAATAGAATTTATTTGTATTCATTTAGTTAATTCTCAACTTTGTTATGAGGCTTGGCATGCCTATATCCTCTATGAAATCCGTTTATATTTAGTGTTTTACCTCCACAATGTGGATTTTCAGTGGCAAGAAAATGTATTTTGTTAGTGATTGTCGCTGTTAGTGATTTTTTGTGTTATGTTTTTTTAGAAATCAAAGGTAATTGATTGAACACTACAACATATGAAATATTGTTTTATTGACATGGTGGAAACAGAATAACTGGCACAGTCCCAATTCTTCATTTCCAAGATGCAACATCCAGTAAAATTACAAGAAAAGTACATTTATAATTGTTATACAGATTTAATTGTAAAACTTGTCATTCTGTCACAATACATAGCTTACTAAAATGTGAAATAAGAAAAGAGCAGCCAGATGATGCCTTGATGACATGCTAGGAAATATGTTAGGTATCAGTAAAACAGAGAAGAAAGCACTAAAGAGAAAGGAAAGACCTATTTAGCCAATCAAAAATTACTTATGCACAACGGGTGTAGTCAGTTGGGGTTTCTGTGTGGAGTTTGCATGTTCTCCCCGTGTTCACGTGGGTTTCCTCCGGGTGCTCTGGTTTCCCCCACAAGTCAAAAAACATGTGGTATGGGTGAATTGACTAAGCTAAATTGTCCGTAGTGTATGTATGTGAATGAGTGTGTATGGATGTTTCCCAGTGATAGGTTGCAGCTGGAAGGGCATCCGCTGTGTATGCTGGATAAGTTGGCGGTTCATTCCGCTGTGGCCACCCTGGATTAATAAAGGGACTAAGCCGAAAAGAAAATGAATGAATGAATGAATGAAAAATTGGTGTAAATGGGTGAAATTTTGTACAAATATTCCAAAAAAGACTGTAAAAAAAGAGCAACCAACAAAACAGAATCAACAACCCAAATTGATATCACCAAGTCATCTAATTTGCCAACTTTGTTGCCCATTTTGCCTTAGCCCACATAAGTCAAAGCCAGCTCCTGGAGGGCCGGAGCTCTGCAGAGTTTGGTTCCAACCCTAATTAAACACACCTGATCAAACTAATTGAGGGGTTAAAGCTGCGGCCACACTTGACTTTTCTTCCCATAGATTTCCATTCATACACACGCGAATGCGTCAGACAGGTTTCGCAGTTCGCTGAGGTGTAAAGTTCAAGCTCGGTGAACTCTGACCTGAGAAATCACATCAATTGACTGCGTGAGACCAATTGTGTGACCTCTCTGTACAGAAATTTAAAACATGGAGCAATCGCTCGCTTTTTTTAATGTCTAATAATCTTGTTAAATCCCGCCCCTTTTCGAAGCGCCGTACGACAGAATTTCGCACACACAAACTCTAGTGTGACCGCAGCTTTAGGCTTGTTTGATACCTACAAGGTGTGTTGAAGCAGGGCTGGAACTAAACTCTGCAGGGCTCCGGCCCCCCAGGAATTGACTTAGACACTCCTGCCTTAGGCTGTGTTTATACTTGCAGTTCAGTTCTCTAAACTGGTTTATATGGTATGGTAAGCTTTACTTTGACATTAATGAAATGTCTGAAACACAAATTAACATCGTCTAAAATAGCATATTATCAATTATAACTTAAATAATTAAACAATATGTTAGACTATAACATTAAATTAAAAGCTATTCTCTAATTGGCCCTAAAAGTTCCTGTGCAATCAAAAATGTAAGTTTTTTGGGAGGTTTACTATGAAAATGTTTGGTTTGTAGGTTGTACAGCTGTAAAATGTTACAAATTGATAACAAAAAAAGGCTTAATGGCCATGGATATTAACTTAGACTTGTGTGTATGTGTTTATTTTTGATTTAAAAAATGATAGTCAGCTAAATCTTGCACGACTAGAGGTTAAGTAAATAAGCAGGAAATGTCTCGGTGAACCATTCATTTAAATAATGCAGCACGTTTCAAGTCACTTCAGTAGGACCTTTAATTTATTCCCCTTTATTTGAGCAGAATATTTTATTAAATGTTTCAGACATTAAAAAAAGTGATCGGATGTCGGCGACAATGGCCTTGTGGATAGTGCGAGCTCGATTCCCGGCTCTAGGTCCTTTGCCGACCCTTCCCCTATCTCTGTTCCCCATACTTTCCTGTCTCTGTATAACTATCCTACCACAATAAAGGTGAAAACCCCTAAAAAAATACATTAAAAATTGATCCATACATAAAATTAGAGTATTATATTATTTACTAGTCTTGTCAACACGTAACAGTCACTGCAGACTATTTACCTAATATCTGAAAGTGTTTGTACATCAGAAGGTTCATTATTTGTGTCTTGCTATATACCATACCAGCGACCAGAAGAAATGCATGTTGTAAACCGCAAATCCACTGATTCAGCGCAGAAGGAATCCTCCACTCAGAGGGTCGTCGCTCTCCTGGGTGAAAGTGGCCACACCGCTGTAGTGGGCATGACCTTTGACCTCCACTACCACAGCCTTGAAATCTCCACATGTGGTCTCCTTCAACAACAGATGATTGAGTTAAAGAATCAAGCATAGAAACTACAATATCCAGGACTACACTCTTAAATGAAATACATGTAAATTACTTATTTACAGCAATTAAAAGTGCAATCTGAGTTTCTATGCTGCAGGTACCTCTATTGCTGTTCCTGTAAACACTGATCCTGTAGCTCCGCTCTGGAAGCTTCTGGTCTGGTTCAGTCTGATCAGGCCTTTATGGTACTGAAGAGCTACACGAGCAGTGACCCCTGAACCTGTAGGGCTTCTGTCCACCTGACAAGACATTTAACAAACCACTGTCACACAGACTGAAGAGCAACAGACCAGTCCTGATCAATCGACTGATATTAAACATCAAGTGTCATGTATATGCATTCATATAAATATGTCAGCGAGACACAAATAGTTTTACCTGTGCATCAGCAAACACACACATATTGGCTGTGGGCTCTTCGGAAAAGGCATCTTTGCCGTCTGTAAGGATTGTACCATAGAGGAAGGCCAGATCTTCGCTGACTGGATGATACAGTTTCACCTAATATCATTACAATGATAAGTCTAGTAAATTGTTATGTAAATTACAGGCAAATAAAACCCATCATGTTGTGTGATATTATCTATTTTTATTTTTATAATTGTCTTAACTATGTGCAAGATGACAAAAACATTGAGAGTCCAAAAGCATTTCTGCTTAATAAAGCCTATTCGAATGCAGCTATAATAACACAATAATTCAAGAATTGTACGATTTTTTATATATATTTTCAATCATTCATCTTCTTTTCAGCTTAGTCCCTTAATTAATCAGGGGTCACCACAGCGGAATGAACCACCAACTTATCCAGCATATGTTTTACACAGCGGATGCCCTTCCAGCTGCAACCTATCACTGGGAAACACCCATACACTCTCATTCACACACATGCACTACGGCCAATTTAGCTTAGCCAATTCACCTATACCACATGTCTTTGGACTGTGGGTGAATCCGGAGCAACCAGAGTAAACCCACGCGAACACGGGGAGAACATGCAAACTCCAGACAGACATGTGAACTGACCCAGCCGAGGCTCCAACCAGTGACTTTCTTGTTGTAAGACGACATTGCTACCCACTGAGCCAGTGCGCCGCCTTTTTATATATTTATAAGATGAAAAAAGAAAGTTCTGTTTTTAATGAGCCACTGATGTCACTTTGTTTTGTTTTGACAATGTTTTGGTTCCTTTTATGGATTTGAATGTCTTAAGCCTGGTTTATACTCGACACGTCCACTTGTTCGCTTGAGTGCACGCAGCGAATGTGGCGTCATCGCAGAGTTTGCGGATGTTCGCTTTGGGTGCACGCAACATGATTTCGGCTGTCGGTGCGCACGGCATTTTTTGAGACTTGAGCAAACAGTGCACGTGGCGCCGAGTTTGATTTGAGTTGAATATGAAACACTTTGAAAAGATTTTGTCTGAAACAGTACGACTGTACAGCCATCTTTATGATCCGTGATCAGAGAGATAACCAGATGATCGATAATTATTGGCTAGAAATTGGAACAGCCGTGGGAAAGGAGGAAAGTTTTGGTTAAAAGGTTTGAAAAATGAGCTTTAAAAAAAACAAAACAGGCCATGGCAAAAGTGAGCCAGGTACACAATTATAGAAATGAGTTATTTCCACCAAACATAGGTTTTACACCGATGTATATATACAATTGTGAATTTAAAACAATTTAATAGTTACAAAACTATAATTAAGGAACAGATTAATTGTTTGATAACTGGAAAAAAATATAATATACTGATGCCCTGTTTCTCAAAGCTTTATTGGTGTTAATAGTCAGGCATGTTGGACCATTATTGCCTTTTCAGCATAAATAGAGGGCAGAAACTAGCCAGACAGTAATGTGTGAATTATGGACTGGGCTAAATCTAAAAAAAACATCTGTATTTTTAAGTAAATGTGCTCTTTTATTTTGCTTTTATTCTTGTCATAATAAAAAATATATATTTGTAGAGCAGCCCATGTTCTGTTGTCATTAATATTTTAATAAACTTTAATAGGTAAAACTGTCTGAGATATGAACAAAAGCAAGTGATGCATCAAAGTTTGATTAGAAAAAATCTTGAATTGTTATAAAAATCCTTATAATCATTAAAATAATTTATAAAACAATTTAAAAATAATTAGCTTACAAACACTGAATGATATTAATGATATGACGTAGTTCCGGAAACTTTCTACTTCGCTGTTTATCCGTCTGATTTTACGGCCAGCTTCTTTTGACTGCCCCCTGTCATTTTAAAGAATATCACAACGGCGAACGTGGCGTATATAAAAGCCTCGTCCGTTTCGCGAGGTGCACGATGCGGCACCAGGCGAAAGTATAAATCCAGCTTTAGAACTGTTGCCGTCTATGGAAGATGAAAGAACTCTCTGGTTTTATCTACAGTATCTTCATTTTTATTCCAAAGATGAACAAAGGCCTCGGGGACTGGAACAACATGAGGGCAAGTAATTAAAAAAGAAGTTTCAATTTTGGATGAACTAACCCATTAACTGTCGCTCCCATTTTTGAACAGACATGAAAATAATTGCAATCTTTAACACTTTTGTGCTTGCATTTAACCCTGGTCTCATTTTAAAGAAGACCGATATCAAATTGTGGCTCATGTTAAAAAAAGTTAAATAAAACAAAATTTATGTTTATGAAAAGAATTAAACAATAAATGTATATTTTAATATATTACATACAAAACATTTATTAACAAAACAGCTTTTAGTCTAAAATTGGCAGAAAATTAGAAATTTGAAAAATTATATTCCAAATTTGAAGTTAAAAGAAGTCAAAAAGGTTACAGTCAGATTTTGTTAAGGCACAATACCAAACATGACCACCAAATGACATTCAGTGACAGTAAATGTGTTTTAATCTATTACTCTTCCTACATAACAAACAACTGTGGTGAAATATGTATTCAGATGTCTTAGGCCATTCCAACGCTATATAACTTGTCATGACTAGATTAGGATTTAATTGCAAAATTTCAATTAAATTCAAGTTTCAATATGGGGTTCCTTCACAAGACTGTTTGTTAAACTGCTCTCCGTGCTAACCACACTTGTCAACACGACCAAGCTGACCAATCACAGAGCTTGTAGTGCAGTTACATTTTAGAGGTGTGCACCTTGACGCAGAAGTATAAATCAGCCTTAAGAGTTATCAAAGAAACAAGAGTCCTGTTTCCTGTTTTCACATTAATATTATTTACTTTTTAGTTTTATTAAATTTTACACATTCAATTTAAATGTTCATTTTAAGTGCAAAAGTGACATAAAAGTTTTTAATTTAATGTTTATACTTTATTTTAGCTTCATTTTAAGTAACAAAAATATTTCAAAATATTCCTCCCCATAACAACACTGGGTCAGTTACCTGAGATTTGACAGCCTCGCTCACAGCAGTGGCTGCATCCACCAAATCTCTAGTTTTGGACTTGTTGACATCCAATCCAAACTTCTCAGCACTCACAAAAGCATAAAGAGCTCCACCATAACTGATGTCCACAGTGACGGTCCCGTATCCCTCTACAGAGACACTCACATCTACAAAAACAAAGGATGAATAATGACCAAACAGCTCCTTAAAACACTACTTAAATGTACTAAAATGTTCTATCATATTAAATTATATTACATACAGTTGAAGTCAGAATAATTAGCCCTTCTGAATTATTAGCCCCCCTGTATATTTTTCCCCCAATTTCTGTTTAACAGAAAGAAGTGGAGTTATATGGAGAATAACAGCAAATTAAAGTGTGTGTATGTGTGTCTTTCAGTGTGAGAGTGACCTTTGCGCTCTTAGCTTGGTGTATCTGAGCAAAATCAAAATATGCACATCAGCTCTCAGAACTACATGGAGTAAACAAAAACAAAGACTGTATTTATGCACCAGCTGCCTTTTGATGTGTAGAAGTATGGACGGCCTTTGTGTGAAATGCTTGTGTTTTACTGATGCTAAGGCCAGTTTAAAAGCCTAAAATCTTTTAGTGATACACTTTTCCATTAAACACAATGACATAAAAATGTTATAATTATGACAACATAATAATAGCATAATAAAAGATAAAATTATCTCTAAACATAATAGTTTTAATAACTAATTTCTTATGACTGATTAATTTTATTATCCATGATGATAATACATAATATTTTACTAGATATTTTTCAAGATACTACTATACACCTTAAAGTGACATTTAACTAGGCTTAACTAGGGTAACTAGTCAAGTCAGGGTAATTAAGACTTTCTCTAGAAGAAAAGATATGAGAAACTCTGTGAACATTTCTTTGCTTCATTAAATATCACTTGGGAAATGAGGGCTAATAATTTTGATTTGAACTGTACATTACATTTCTTTTAAAAATATGATACAAACAAAGATTGCTATTAAATGTAAATAATGTAATACAGTACAATATAAAACACATTCTTCTGAAGTGCCACCACCAAAACAACCAAATTTGGTGTTTATTTTTCTCTGATAACATTGTCATGATTAAACAACGCTGCTCACCTGTAGCGAAAGCGAATGCGGGCACACTGTGAAACCTGACAGCTCCAGTTTTCCCATCAGCATATTGCGTAAAGGCCTTCACCAAGCCACAGGGGCAGTGTATGTTTATCTGCGTCTCTGGTGAAGTGGGCTCTTTAACCAGACCATAATCCACAGCGAAGCGTCCGAGCGCAATGACAGCGTGGCCACACATGGTGCTGTAACCTTCATTATGCAGAAACAAAACGCCCAGATCAGCTTCTGCTAACTCACTTTTGACCAGGAGGGCTCCATACATATCATTGTGTCCACGAGGCTCCAACATCAAGACCTTGCGAAGATGATCCAGATGCTCTCTCACATAACGGCGTTTGGCAAGGATGGTGTCGCCCTGTACCTCTGGAAAGCCACTCAGGATGATGCGCAGCGGTTCTCCACCCGTGTGCATGTCCACTACTGACAGCACTGAGCCGCAGTGAGGGGGCAGCTTGGGGAACGCCATTCAGCACACTAGAGAGACAAAAAAAAAATAATAATCTGTAAGAGAATTGACGGTAAACTACTGTAAATATGAGACAAAAGTTGGGTACATTAGGTTTAGTGATCTCTCAATGTCAGAGTGTTACTGACAGATATATTTTAGCATCACTAATTGTTGTAGATTATTAACCGGGTAACATTTGTGGACATTTTTTTATTTTAAAGTACTTTTAGTTATCTGGGCTTTAAGATGGCAAAAATATGAAAAATAAAATCTATAATTTTTCCATATAAATTGTACTTAGTACATTTTTTGTAATACTAGTAACTATAATAAATAATTATCTATTATTTTAGGTTTTTATATTATATTATTTATACTATATAATAATTAAAATCTATATAATGGATTGCATAAGTTAAATAAGTTTATTATAAGGTAAAATGTATAAACAAAATAAATGCTTTGAATTTAAAAAAGTAAAGGAATATCTCACTCAAAGATTATAATTCTGTCATCATCAATTACTAATAATTTTCATTTTTGGATGAACTATGCTTTTAAACTCAATGAGAATGATCTGCTTGACAATTAACTGTCATGACATTCAGTGACAGTAACTGCGTTTTAATCAATTAATCTTCCTACGTAACAAAAAGCTGTGGTAAAATGTGTATTCAGTTGTCTTAGACCTTTTTAACAATATATAGTTTGTCATAATTAGATTAGGATTTAAAAGTGCAGTATGTAAGTTTGACACCCAGTGGTTGACCTAGGTATTGCACTCCTGATTCAAAACACATTTTACTCCATCCCTCCTCTGAAGACTCCAAGCAAGCGCAAGTTGCCAGATTGACGACACCAACAGGCCAGCCAACATGCCTGACTGTCGAACCTAAAGGCTGATTTAAACCATTTTCTAACTAAAGTAATTGGACACAACAGAATAAATATTTTCATATTAAAAGGAGTTTTTGTCCTGACCAACATCTGAAATTTCTATTTTAGAAACGGCTTCTATTTATTGCAGCTGAACAGCGGAAAACAATGACAATGATCAGCTCAGGTACACCTCATGTGCTTTATTCAGTGTGAAATGCTAATAATGTGAGTTTGAACGCCATTTTACATGACATATATTTCCATACTACTGAAAGCAGCAGCAGATAGTTCACCTCAGTTCTTGAAAATAAGATAAACAGTTTAAAATTAAACTTTAGAACTGTGAGTCAGTGCAAGCCAACAAATATCAGATCAGCATGTAGTAATGTAAAAGAGGTTTATCATGTATTAATTAATTAGATTGTAAAACTTACCTGTAATGTAAATTTCTTTTGTGGTGTGTGGTGCAAATAGCCAAACTGCTTATCACTGCAAATCTCCTAACGTAGCTTATTGTTAGGACACATGGTTACAATGTAACCTGCTTACATTTGTAATATTTATATATTATTTGCTAATTAATAACCACCTCATGTGTAACTGTGAATCTGCCTCTCATTTCAGAGGCTGTTACTGTTTACCGGAGGTCACATTTCAGTCACGGACGAGTGAGTATGAGAACCATCATGACAGAATTAATCAAATCCTCTGTTTTCCCACCAAGACAACCCTGAATTAAAATAATTGGCTAAATTGGCAGTGGGCGGGTTAAAAGACCAAAACCAAAACAGACGTTCCGGCACGTAACTCGCATTTTCAAAGCAAAATATCTGACTTTAACATTGTTTTTCAGTTAAACAAGATGGTTCACTTATCATGTTTCTTAAATATCTGCAAACATATTAAGGCATTTTATGCTTTATAGGAGTCAAAAACGTACATACAGCACCTTTAATTGGAAAAATGTGATGCACACAATTTATTTATGAGAGGCCTAACAATATATTTTTCAAATGTTGCCTATTTATACTTATGAAAGCCCGTTCCTGCCTCTAAATAAAACTATTTTTAAAGTTATTGTGACTTTATCTCAGAATTCTCTCTAAAACTCAGAATTGTGAGTTTGTATCACGAGATAAAAAGTCAAAATAACCTTTTTAATTGTTTTATTCAGCGGCAGAAATGGGCTTCCATACATACGATCACATGGCCACATTTGAAACAAACAGTAATCCAGACAGACACATTTCAGTTCATTTTGAGATTATCTAATTGTTTAGAAATTCATATTTGTCTTTGTCTGTTACCAAATAAACTGCTATTAGGCTGGGTAATAAATAAATAAATCTTCTCAAATGAATAATGGTGCTTTAAAGGTTTAACTAAAAAAAAAAAGACAATTTCAGTCTATTTAAATAATAGATTGACTTTTTTAAAGTAAAATTGAGCTGAGATTGCAAAGATATTTTTTTAATCTAATCTAATCTAAATGTTTTTTTTGGCTAACTTGACAACAAAAGTTGATAAATTTGGTGCTTTGAATCTGCACAAACATTTCAGTTTTTGGAGTTATGAATGTGTGTATATGGTGTGACCAATGAATAAAAGGATAGTTCACCCAAAAAGAAAAAAAAAAAGAAAATTCTGTCATAATTTACTCACACGTTACTTGTTTTAGGCCTTTATTAGTTCCTTTCTTTTGTTAAACACAAGATATTTTGAAGAAAGCTGCAAACCTGCATGCGGCGTGGTGGCGCAGTAAGTAGTGCTCACAGCAACAAGGTCGCTAGTTTGAACCTAGGCTGGGTCAGTTGGCATTTCTGTGTGGAGTTTGCAAGTTCTCCTCGTGTTGGCGTGGGTTTCCTCCAGGTGCTCCGGTTTCCCCCACAGTTCCAAAACATGTGTATAGGTGAAGTAGGTAAGCTAATTTGTCCATAGTGTATGTGTGTGAATGAGTGTGTATGGATGTTTCCCAGTAATGGCTTGCAGCTGGAAGGGCATCCGCTGCGTAGAACATATGCTGGATAAGTTGGCGGTTCATTCCGCTGTGGTGACCCCAAGTTAAAAAAGGGATTTAGCCGAAAAGGAAATGAATACATGAATGAATGGAAACCTGCAACCACTGACCATTAGTTGTTTTTCCTATTAATGGTTACAAGTTTTTTTTAGCTTACTTTAAAATATCTTCTTTAGTGTTCAACAGAAGAAACTCAAAATTTTGGAACCACTTAAACATGAGGAAATAGTGAGTTCATTTTGATTTTTTGGTGAACTATCCCTTTAATATTAGGCTACTTTCTTCTTTTTTAAATAATATTTCATACATTTTGGAACCATAAAAAGCTCATTTCCTTAATCCTAAAGGCTAATACAACATATTCACTGCATCACACATTTACTGTGACAGAATTAATCCCAGAGTGAGTTGTATTAAAATCATTTAAAATACGGATAAAGCAAAAGGCTTACCGTCCCAATGAGTTCAGTAAAGCAGTCAACGCAAGTGAAACCTTTTGTTAACAATTAAACTGTTATTAAATCTGTGTTCTTTACAAAACGACTTAGGGTAATGACCGCAACGTTATAATGTAAACTCTTTTCCAGCCTGCTCTCTCGACTTTTAGGATTTAGCCCAAACTCTTGTTGGAAAGTTGTGGTGGGTGAATCGCTCATTACCGCCTCTATTTGGCCTGGATGAGAATGACACTCGTTACATTCAGACCATAGCGCCTTTCTCCCTTTCACTCAGTGATACCAGTAAATACAAAAAAGTTCTACAAGATTTGCTATATATACTATAGTGCTGTTTCATGTGGAAGTAGAGCCCAAAATATCAAAACACTAGTATTTTCACCTGCTAAAATTATTTAGTCAGTTGTTTCTATATTGTAGTGTGTCAATAGGAAATATCAAGTCAAGGCAAGTTTATTTATATAGCACATTTCATACACAGTGGCAATTCAAAGTGCTTTACATAAACAGGAATAAACAAGACAAGTTTAGGAACATAAAATGTGGTCAATAAAAATTATTAAAAACAGATAAAAACAAATTAAAATGAGTAAAAAATAGGTTATAAAAGAATGAAAAAGAAAACGAAAAACATTATAGTGCAATCTGTCGGACGCACAGTGCTCATACAGTAAAGGCACAGCTAAACAGATGTGTTTTCAGTCTTGATTTGAATGTGCCTAATGTTGAAGCACATCTGATCATATCTGGAAGCTGATTCCAGCAGCGAGGGGCGTAGTGGCTGATGGCAGATTCACCCTGCTTTGACTGAACTCTTGAAATTTCTAGTTTATATGATCCTAAAGATCTGAGTGATCTGTTGGGTTTGTATTCAGTGAGCATATCTGTAATGTATTGAGGTCCTTGGTCAGTTTACATTTCACTTATTAATTGTAATGATGCAGTGTGATTTTTGTTTGTAAAATGAGTTTGACAGCAGCTGATCCTCCACACAGAGATCAGATAAATCAGGAGAACTGAAGAACATCTCCAAGACACTTTAAGAAACCTGCATGCAAAGCTTCACTACTGGAAACTGGACAATTGATTTGTGTAAAATGCTGTAACAGTGAGGTTGCTTTCAAAAATAAATACATGCATTTTCTTTATCTTTTTTAAACTAAATTAAATCAACATTTGGTTGTGTCTATCTTCCACAAAATAATGACACATCACTTAACCAAACTGAACACACAAAGTTTCTGTTTAAAAGGTTTACATTTAATTACTGACACATTGATTGATGTATTATATTATCATATTATATAATGTATTATATAATTGTTATTACTATCATTATTATAATTATTATTATACAGCTTGTTACTTGTATATTTTAGTCATTAAATTATATTATTACTCACTACACATATTTTTGTTATTGTCTATATTCTGCTTTCATTCTGCCGTCTATCCTATGTTTTCTTTTGTTGTAATTCCATTATTATTATAATATTTACTTTACTTTTAATTTACTTTATTGTCTGCACAGAGATTCTGAGCCAAAATTCATATTTGACACTGGCATAACATACAATACAGCATACATAAACCTACTTAAATACAAATTACTTATTACTCCACCTTACATATTATTCAA